CAAAACTGAGCATAGCCGGTCTACTAAAAGAGAATGAAGACAGATTCGCAGTCAAAAAAAATACAATATGAAAAAACAATGACAAGATAAGAAAACGAAAATAAAATTTGGTGGTAATTGGTCACTAATAATAATAGTCCTTATTGGTGGAGATTTTACTTTAAAATCTTTAATCTCAGGTGATATTGAGTAAAATTAGGGGCAAAAAGAGTCAGTAATCTGGTAACACTATGAGTGATTGCCAATGCATTAATTATACTACACTGATGAAGTTTGAAGACGACGACTGTCCCTTGAGTGAACGTTCTAATATGGATACGTTATATTATGTGTTTATAAATTTCATTGATATACATTCTTTAAGACTTTAATAAATATTTATTACCAACCCAAGAGTTTCGATAGCATTTTGTAAACATTTGAATATCGCGACTTTTCAAAACAGTGAGTTTACGACAAGAGCGGTTTATATTTTGTCATATAAAGCAAGAAGATTTATATTTGGTCGTAAAGTACAAGAGCCACCATGGATGAAGAGCTTTCACACTGGCGCTAACTCATAAAATTCTTTAAAAAATATCCGTAAATAAACGACGCGAAATAGACTATTTGCAATGCGTATTTACAGAACTGGTTTTATTCCTGTTTTGAAAAAGCTGAAAAAACTTTGCCCAAATATATATAATATTTGGGGAAAGTTTTTTCAGGGATAATAATGGAATGGAGCGCCCGCCTGCGCTAACGGTATACGCTGGCGGGGCACCAGTGGAGGATGATAGGGTGAGCGTATAGTCATATCAGTTTACTCATCGTGGCGAATTTACCAGAAACAGCAGGATGGTTTTCAGGGGCTAACGCTATGATGTCGACCTGATATGGTATATTGCAATGCAGCTACTATCCTCATTACTAACAATTCCTAACCCATTTGGGGAGAGTTATTTATATACCGGCATTAAGTAACACGAGTTATGGTTTTTTTATATACAAGAACAGACATCACACCGTCTTGTGATTTGCGTCGCACGTGTTCGTGCACAGCTCATATATTGCCATCCTGAGAATTAAAGAATCCTGCAATTTACCATCGTTAAAAAAAAAGATCTTACAAAGCAAACTATTTAAACAGGCGACAGTGGAAGCAGGTACGATAGAGGAATCCACGCAAACATTCATGTACAAATTCTGCCTCGGGCTCTATCTATAGAAAATATATAAAGTAAAAACCAAGTGAGAGAGACAATCTTACTTGTAATAGATACAGGTTAGGTTATCTATGTCACTTGGCTCTATTTCTGCCTGACTGTGGTTATATATTCACTACTCATCTAATGAAAACAAATATCTTGCTTATGTACTTGTACGTACTCGTTTCTTTACTATACGATTCTAAGAACTACATAAACTTCATTAATATGACCAATGAAAAATAATACATCAAGTAGGCAGGTATTATAATATCCCCTTAATTTAACTACATTGAAATAGCTTTGTACTTATTTCGAAATAAGAAAGTCTCTTCCTCGAAGCTTTATCTGTCAATTAAAGATAATTTGATAATTGGTTTTATTCACGAATATTTACTACCTACTATTTCTGTTTTAATTTTCACTATGCTTTTTTCATTATTTTTTAAATCTATTTGAATAATGCTACTTATATTTATCTGAACAGCGCATATTAACGTTTCTAAGTAAAGTAGTCTCATGGGGTTATTTAGAAAAATCAGACCACATTTTTGTTCCGTACGAAAATATGGGCACAAAGGAATTATCTACAGGATATGAGCAGCGGTATTTTATAGTTTATACCGAAAGAATTTCATATAAATCTTCTCTTTAAAGTTAACTGTGGAACAGAATTTTATTGAAAAATAACCGAGGCCATTATTGTAAGAATAAAGTATTATACAATATGATACTTAAGTAATATAATCGTTTAAAATCATTGGATATAGATTGGTTCAAATTTCATTTCTATGTACGTATTCGAGAAATATTGTAGTCAATTGTGCATCTATTTTAACAATTCTTTTATAATTAAACTAAGACGCAAAAATAGGGTGGTCATCCTATGAGTTTGACGTGTCTGTGTGTCTCTTTGTGGCATCGCAACTCTTAAACTAATGAGCCAATTATGATGATCAGTTTTTTGTTTGAAAACTGATGTGATGGTTTTTAGCGACAATTTATGAAGATTTATTCAGACGATTCAAGATCATCATCTCTTTTTGTTACCTTATCTTACAAAGATTAACTGAAACTTAATACCAAGTTTCAGTTTAATTGAATAATTTAAGCCAATTTGAATTATAAACGCTTAACATAATAAGAACACGGACTCTATATCTGTAGAGAAACAAAATTGAGGTTAATGATGATGATTCTTTTAATTAACATTTCTTTATAATATTAAAGTACCAATAGATCAACTGAAACATGATAGCAATTAAATATAATTTAGTAGATATATCTACATATTGGTTTATTTCTTGAACTTCCACCGCAATGTCAATATCTATATTAAGTGTTACACCACAAATCGTAATTGCCACTTACCCTTGACCATTTACTTCGAAATACGATTAGGGGCTCAGTTCGCATTTCACTACTTTAGGGCTGCCAACTTTCATAAACTTCATTCAGTAAAGATGAAATATAACCTTGGGTATTTAATTTCAAGAGTATTATATTCCTAATCTCATTACGATGAAGTATCTATATCTAAAAGAAAACTCTTCCTGTTTTATAGGAATTATGGAAATTTTGAATAGATAATTAAAAAGTAATATCATAACTTTATGAACCTTTTTAATAACAAAGTATATAAGAACAGTCAGCACTGTATGGTCAAGTAGTTTGTTTGTCTATAACACTTTATTGTATAGCAAATACATTTAAAATAACATAATGAAAGTTGTATAATGGCGGACTTCAAGTCAATCTTGGAATTAATATTATTTATTTTAGGGTATTTGAGATTCCATCGTATAGTTACAAAACATTCTGTATCTGTTAAATACATAACATACAAGTAGATAGATGAAGATATACCAGTACCCTGTATAAAAAATATTTTTAACTAAATATATAGTTACAAGAAGTAATTAAATTACTGTAGTTAACGTATTATATATCTTTCCTTTCCTTTATTTTTAAACATTTTTGTGCTGGGAACAGCAGAGTTTGTCATTTTATATACTGCCAACTTGTTTTATAATTGTACTGCCATATTTTGTTCAAAGTGCCCTCTGTACGCGTCCCGTTTGTTAGCCGGTGAAGATGTATGGACCAGCTGAGTTTAGTAGTATTAATAGAACTCTAAAAAAGACATCTTTCATAGAAAATTGTACTGTATTGTATGTAACTGTACTCAGTTTATGTACACACTTAAACTATGTATATAATTCCAAAGGAACAGCCTAGATTAGTAGTGTATATAAAATAGATTGCAGCTGCGGCAGATCCTTAGTAGATCATATCTTAACTGTGGTCAATCTAAGCGAGCTATATTCTGTCAAACTGTAAACATAGCCATAGACAGAGTCTAAAATCACTACTGAAATATCATGGGACAAAAGGGAATAGGGAAGAAACCTTATTCCCTATTCAAATTTTATCTTCTTCTAAATGTGTCAAAGTTGTAAATCACATGGAATCCAGTGTTAGGTATAATTAAAAGTGTATAAATGTAAAGCTGCATACTACATATCTTTAAAATAAATGAAGTGATGCAGTGGAGGTGTTCTGTAGCATCATGTATTTTCCAGTAGTATTTAGTGGTGATACAGATTTGTTCGCTCATAATAATTCATAACATGAACCACCATTAATTTTCTATAACTAATCATAATAATTGATTCTTCAAATTTATCTTTATATCTATGCGGCTTATGGGGTCAATGTAAATATTTACAACGTAAAGTTTCTCTCTGTAGAGACGTCACGTCGAAAAGTATTTGTTGATCTTATAAACACTGTGAGTAGAATATTAAGTCTTAAGCTAGATACAGAAATTTGAATTTTAAAAGAAGATGCACATAAATTGCTGACTATATACAATATTTTCAATATATTGACAGCTGAATATAAACAAAGTGACTTTCTTGATAGTTTAAAACGGCCTACACACGGCACTAAATTCAGGAGCAATAGAGCAGCAGTGATGGGGCGCTTCTTGTCGATGTCTTCGTCTCATTCGATATGTTCTTGACAGAATGGTCGTGGTCATTATGTAGTGAGGCATGAAGATGATGTAATTTGCCGTACGACAGCTCGCCATTTGTCTCTACTGGTTGCCATTCTGGTACACTCGTGGAGTGGACCGCCTACTGCTGCTTTGACTTGATCGATCCATCGCACAGGTGATCGTCCACGGGGTCTAATACCGTCAACTCTACCCTGTATGCCAATCCGCCCTATGTAGCCGTATGTATTAAATCAGGGCCGATTTTTCATACTCTATCAAATTTTACTCCTATTAGAACTACTCCAAAACTGCCCTTCAATTAGTATCATGTGTAGGCATCTTAACAATGATTGCTGCTTGTTCCAAATTCATCTTTGTATGGATAGACATGATTTGTGTAGGGGTAAATAGATATTTTTACAACATGAATGTACTTTTCCCAGATGTTTATATCTAGTATTATTTACAGTAAAAACATCATAATAAACATATGAATGGAATATATTTGACGCTATAAAAATGAAATAACACTAGTATGTTTTATGAGACAATATACTCCTGTTAACTTATTAATAAGAAATACGGGGTACCTTCTTCAGGAAGGTTTATGGTGCAAACGAATATCCGATCGTTAAGTAAACATTCATATTTTTATTCTGTTCAAGTTATCCTGCCTTTACTGTCTGTAACTTGAATAAGCACTGTTGACAAATTTTATATTTATAATATATTATATTCATATTTCTACAATTCATCCGCTAACAAACAACTTTGCTTCTTGTTAATAACATCTATTTCTTTCCCCAGACATCATGTACGGGCTACTATTAGAGAATATGGCGGAGTACATCCGGCAAACCTACGGTGAAGAGCGCTGGGAAGACATCAGGCGACAAGCCGATGTCGAACAGCCGTCCTTCTCCGTTCATCAAGTATACCCCGAAAATTTGATTACAAGACTAGCAAAAAAGGCACAAGAGGTATGTATGTCACGATACAATCTCTAGATATTAATGTAGTTATTATTAAATTTTATTGTTCTTTGTAATATAGAATTGCAAATTCTTTTCATAAATATTATGTATGTTGTATCATAGACATTATCATATAAATAATTTAGGAAACGAGAGTATTTTGTGTAACTAGATATCTCTGTAATTACTTATAATTTAATATTGTAAAAAACTATCCATGAAATGTATAATATTTTTTTATACTACCTACTACGGTGTCAAACAAGCATAATATCCACATTTTTATTAAAAAAATATTATTAATTTTAGAATAATTTAAATGCATTTATTAGCCAATATGAGCAACATTATAAACATTAATTACCGTACTTATATGATACTTAACACTTAAAATTTTATATTTTCGAGTAGAGTATGTCGATGTATGTATGTATGTATGTACATAACATACTCAACTAATATTTCAGAAAAATATTCATTGGCCCATTAGCTCAGTTGGTTAGAGCGTCGTGCTAATAACGCGAAGGTCGCGGGTTCGATCCCCTCATGGGCCAAATTTTTTTTTTTGTATTTTATACGTTATTTTTTATTTCTGTATTTAAATTTTAATTTACTATCACCCGAATTATATATTTTATTTTAAAAGAAAAATAACTAACAAAAAAATAGAAAGTTTACTTTGTAAGTCTGTCTTAGTAGTAAACTAGTCTTATTATACTAGTCTTATTAGTAAACTAAATTAAACATCAAAAGTTAATGAGAAATATATTAAAAGATTTTAAAAACACAAAAATATAAAAAAACATAAATAATAAGATGTTTAGGAAATATAAAGACTACTAACAAAAGCACAAAAAGAAATTATGGAGGTGCTGGGATTTGAACCCAGGACTTTCAGCATGCGAAGCAGACACTCTACCACTGAGTTACACCCCCGTTACGATTTTATTGCGAAATTACTTATCACTTTCTGTTGTCATACAAAAAATATAAATAAAGTTTAATATAAATTGGGCGTAATTGTACTATGTAATATTATGTTATCTGTGATTATAGTAAAGAACTAAACGCTTTATATTTTTATTATCATGTAAATGTTTATGTTAAAATTGAACATGTATCTAACTATATATATATATATATAATATAAATTTACTTAGCCCATAAAAATATTTATTCTTTCATTGCTCTTACAATATTCTTTTAAAAATAAATAATAATAAAAACCGTAAATTGAAAACCTAGTTAGTTTTGTAAAATTCGTAACAACATAATGTTGGAAATGCAACATTGCTTAGTTATGTTTTCAGGCGTTTCTGAGTCTAATGTTCTACATTAATAACAAATAATTATTTGTCAATAATTTAAATTATAATGTTATTAATAATTAATTGTTGCAGATATTAGGAATAACAGAACGTGAATTTATGGACCAGATGGGTGTGTACTTCGTCGGATTTGTGTCACAGTATGGTTATGATAGAGTTCTATCAGTTTTAGGTAGACACATGAGGGACTTCCTAAATGGACTTGACAACCTCCACGAGTACTTGAAATTCAGTTATCCAAGAATGAGAGCACCCAGTTTTATATGTGAAAATGAAACTAGGCAAGGACTCACTTTACATTATAGGTCGAAAAGAAGAGGATTTGTATATTATGCTATGGGACAGATCCGAGAGGTGAGTATTGTTTTGTAAATACCAGATTCATATAGATCTTGGTCGTTGGCGACTCGTTAACGACTTCTGAAATATGCTGTATCTGGTACGGTATATGGTAGTCTCTGTAATTGTATCTATTTGTTAATATACACTAACAAATAGATATTTAAGTCAACAACAACTGAATTGAAAAATCAAAATCATACAAATAGTGCGGTCGCGTGGCTACCTAATAAATATAATAAGTTAAAAATTACAACAACTAACTCAACAGTCTAAATGTAGGTGTAATACTAACAACTGTTGAAATAATAATATTTTAAATAAATTCTAAAGAAAGATATAATTTACTTTTAAAACAAATGTAAAACATGCTTATTTATTATGCTTGAGAAAGTATTTTAAGTAAATTTGATTTTTATTAACCCTTACAGCATAAATTAGGTATCTGTGTATTTAAACTTTACCACATAATGTCAATTGTAAGCACCTACATTAACCAAATATTCAATGAACCAGTCAGTTCTATTAAGATCTCAATCATGATCAGTGAACATCGTTTGGACGCGGTCCTATTGGTCACATATTACCAATATTACCTACTGATGCAAGTCATGTCTTGAAATTAATCAGTAGGCATGAAAAATCTATCATTTTATATTGTGCTTTCTGAATACAAAAAAAAACTGGTTTGAACACGATATGGTACAAATATTATTGTTTTCCTTTTTAAATTTGGAATATTTGTCCCACAAAAGTGTGTGAATTACTTTCTCAGAAAAAAATTTCAAAATTTGAAATAATTAACAAATGAATGAATCCTTTTCAGACTGAATGACCTTAGTCTGTGAACATACCACCTAATCTGTATAATATCGATTCCGTGATAATATATGTACAATACTTTTGTTATGAATTTCGTATGAAAAGTGTATAAGTGTTGTAGATATGTATTAATTAAAATACTTTTCGCAGGTAGCCCGTCACTTTTATAATAAAGATATGAGGATAGAACTGTTAAGAGAGGAGTTATTATTTGATACAGTGCACGTGACATTCCAATTGACGTTTGACAATCGCGCCTTCACGCTCGCGTCTTTAGCGATGACTAGAGAGGAGAAACATCTACCTATCAGTGCGTCGGTACTATTCGAGATATTCCCCTTTTGTATTGTATTTGGGTAAGCTATAATATGTCAATACGACTGAAATAAATCTATTACACAATTTTTTCCGCACTAATTTATACCGTCGATTATTCCGCATAGTTTGTCAGTAATATGTAAGTAGGTGTGCATTGTTTAGCGCTATTTTATTTCCGCAATACGTATAGCTTCCTGCAGGTGGTTTGTTACATATGAAACACGAGGATTTATTTCTGCCAACTATCTAATACGTATTTTGTGGCATACAAGCATACGGCCCAATTTGAACATATTTTCACATTTATTTATAATACCTACACGGTACAATAAATAAATCAATCAATAAGTAAATTCGATCCTCGTTGGTATGGCGCAGTAGATTGAATTAAGGCTAGATACCATTTAGGTCTCGTTCCCAAGAAGAGTCAAAGCCTAAATTTACTTAGTGTATTCTAAAATTAGAACAAATATTTAGAGTATGCTCAGATATGACGACTGATAGAGAACAGTGGAAGAGAATGACATACTGCGCCGACCCCAAATAATGGGATAAAGGCAAGGCAATGATGATTCTAAAATTAGAACAAATATCTCTATCTCTTTTTTAACAGAAACTCCATTATATAACTTTTTTTAGGTCAGACATGGTGGTACGTAGTATCGGCAACTCATTAATGGTAATACTACCCGATTTGGTCGGGAAAAAGATCACTAATTGGTTTGATTTAGTACGACCGCTCATCGCATTCAAATTTCAAACTGTAAGTATTAAACTGTGTTACTTTTAATATATAGGTAGTATCTGTATCTGTCAGCAGGCCCAACGATAACATAAATGACATGGAATAAAGGATAATATATCTTAGTCTTCCGGAAAACGCATGAGTGCTATCACGATCGTTACATGATAACGTGATGTGCGTTGTGATGTTCATATATATTTGCAACTGTTACCACTTACATTAGGTGGGCCGTAATCTGGTGTACCATTCCAATTATATAAAATAACTTTTGTACAAAAGATGTCACTCCATATACTACTATAACTAGCGTTGTTCAAAATTACAAATGGATGTTTATTTGTGCCTCTTTTTTGTTTCTGTATAAGGACATTTCCCGTCATTAAATTAAATTAAACAAATTTATAACGCAATGCTGGGTACCACATGTATTATATATCACACGTTTGGTAAATTAATATTTTTATAATTAAAAAAATATTACTATCTCTATAATAAGTGTTTTACATTTTTTTTTCAGATCTTAAATCGTACTAACAATATCTTTGAACTGGTAACTGTGGAAGCAGCCATGCATGAGAAGTCCACAGACAAACGAAATGAGCTAATGCGTCTATCTGATGAATCGGATGCTGCCACTGAAAAGAATCTCAGACTTAAAGGTTAGAGTCAAGTTTATCATCAACTTTTTTTAGGTTGATCATAATATTTTTATTTTTGATTTGAAAAATTTTGTAGGTATGATTTATCATAAATATGATAAAGGAAAATTGTAGAGCTTAAGTTTGACCAGAATGATGACTGTCATACAATGACAAATACCATCCATCCATCGGTTGTATCCACACTCCTAACGCGTTCCCATTTCAAAAAAAATGAATGAAATAAAATGAATGAACTAAATCAAATCAAAAGACTGAGGTGCAATGCCTCCATAACCATAGATTTCTACCAAAGCACTCAGTAGTTTTATCTCTACTTTTAAAGGAACAAAGCTTGCAAAGAAAGCTGTCTTCTTAATGTTATTAATTGGTAAGACAGGTATTCTCTCATGCAGACGATTATGAACTTAAACACAATAATTTTTTGATATATAATAGTAAATATCTTAATTAAATTTTAAATTCAATTTCACAACGTTAATTTCTTTTTTAATCAACCTAAAAGACTGAATCCCTAATAAGTACGCGAAGATCTCAAATAAGGAACTTAAATAATGTCGGTATAATATCTGTTATTACAATGGGAACTCTATTTGTATTCAACATTAAATCTATTTTCGTTTAACTCTCTATTTTCTTGCTGATTAACAATCTAGTCATTATTAATGCATGCTCTGTAACTTGGGCAAAGTAATTCTTACCCAACCATTACATCAACGTATCCATAACGTACATTTTACTATCAGGCTACAGAATATTGATAATCGGGTAATCGGAGTACACGAACTATATGAGTAGCTACCGCTTTGCTTTACCAATGGTCGCGAGTTTGATTTCTCGCACTGTACATAAACATGAGTATGATTGTTTGTATCACTATGGGTGTTTTCTATGTATATTATTTACAAAAAAAAAAGTACATATGTATCTATATCAATACTCTAGTACCCATAACACAAACTCTATCTAGCTTGGGACTAGATGGCGTTGTGTGAATTGTGGATATTATTATTATTCGAAATTCTGTAACTGATATTTATAGAGATAATAAATGTATGCATTTTCTAATTCCATATTAGAATTAGAATAGTTCAGTATGCAAATTGAACTCTCATCATCAAAATTATATTACTTGAGATTGCAAACAAGTTAGCAGCCCTCCTGACAATAAACTGTCACTGTGGTTTTTGTATTACAGGTAATATTATGTGTAGCTACATATCACAATTATAGTATAGTAACCAGTATAGTAATCTTTAAATAAGGATGATGATGATGTCTTTTACCAATAAAAATATCTCTTGTTTTAATAGGAACAAAATCCTAACTTTTTTTCATAATCTGACAGATAAGTACAAACTGTGTGTCGATTTTATGTAATCTGTGTTATATATATAGACTGACATCGACTGAAAACTAAAATTAATCCGAGAGGCGGCGGAAAAGTCCCTCTCTAATGTTGGATTCAAATATACCGAGTGAAATATAGGAATATCGAGTATTAGCGTTCACTGCGACGTCACTAATTAACATTGCGTCTATCTTCTGATCGTTACTATAATTATAATCAACTTCTAAAGAATAAGTTATATTTTGCAGACTCGCCCATAAAGAAACGCTATGCGTATGACGGGAGACGATTGCCTGACATTATTAATTTACATCTCAAAGGTAGTCCCATAGAAAAGATCACCTTAGGTATCGAACTTCACCGAGCTTAGTGGACAGAGCACTAATTGTACTTATGTTGTATTATATAAAATATATACAAATCAGAAGTATTTCTAGCGAACACCAAAATGTTGACACATTTCACGTTGAGAGAAATCTATGTAGCATTACTTTAAAAATAGAATACTTAGCAACTCTGTTTGAACATGTAATATATTAGGATAATATGAAGTCGTTCTTACTGAAATTTTGCGTATCTAATGCTGTTAGACGCAGACATTTCTAACCTAACCGGACAAAAATGGGTGCAGTGAGCACTCCAAACCTGGGATGGACTTATGGAGTAACTAAAGGCTAAATTCTTCCTGACGGATACGACTTTAGTCGGAGGGCACCGTTAGGATTTCGAACCTCTACTCAGGCCGTGGCAATTTCGATTACCGTTTGAACGGAACATGAGATTCAACGAGACAATTTGATTCTAAATATTTCTGTAATAGATTTCCGTCAACAGTAAATAAAAAACCGAAAACAAACGTATGTACACAGCACCAGAACACACAAACAATTGCACATTATTTCACGTTATCTAATAATATTAAATTATTATTAGAAATTGGGTATATGAACATATTTCGAAATTAATTTCATTCATTTTAACCACTGTGTTTTTATAACTTCGTAAAATGATTTATTCCTTTACCCGCCACATTCTAGAATATTTCCGTCTAAGTACAATTCAGTGACTTTAATTTGAAATACCAGACATGCAAAATGCGAATTTCATTGAAGTAATTATGAACTCTAACACAAATTACAATCGCAGATACACTATATTATATACACCAATAGTATAATATGTCTTAGATTATTAGTATATTACACCGTAGTATTTATTCTTAGTTACACATGCACATGGTTGTCATAATAATTATCATTGTATTAGAAAAAGTACTAATAATATTAAATTATTATTAGAAATTGGGTATGTATGAACATATTTCGAAATTAATTTCATTCATTTTAACCACTGTGTTTTTATAACTCTCGTAAAATGATACGGGCGTGGATAATAAAATGGCGGTAGGTGAATATAGAAGTACTTTCCTTTATTCAACAAATATTCATACATGACTACTAATACAATATTAATCCAAATTGCCTAGAGAAATGTGTAAAGTGCCAGTAGTCACTGTTTAAATTTCCGTCATTTTGTTATTAATAGCTCATTGACACTTATAAAATCTCCTACTATTTGTTAAATTAAAAACCTCTCCTCTTTACCCGCCACATTCTAGAATATTTCCATTTAAAATGTCTAAGTACAATCACCAAATGAGGAGAATAGAGGGAAATAAACTAGATTGACTTATATGTCTTACAATAATTAGATAATAATTTGGAAATTTTGTTTGTAGCACATGTGAAAATTTGATTTTATTAAGTTGAATAATTATTTTAGGCGGTGTACCATGATGCAAAACAGATTGTTTCAAAACGATAAGTGCTTCAGTGGATAGATCGATTGCAAGTTTTGTTTGTCATGAAACATGCACGAAAACATTTGTGAAAATTTACGATTCAATATAAACACAGGTCCCACATTCAACACCAAGTCATAGACGAATAAGAATAATCCTAACTGCAAAACAGCCACCATTCAGTGACTTTAATTTGAAATACCAGACAAGCAAATGCAAATTTAAAAAACGTGGAATTTCATTGAAGTAAGTATGAACTCTAACACAATTTACAGTCGCAGATACACTATTCAATCGATTACTTATTCTCCAATTTGTGTATTCCATATATCCATGAATGGGCAGCCTTATATATAGGAATGTTTTATTTTTATGTAGGAATATTTTATAATATTTTTTTAGTTACGTAAGCCTTTATTAGTATGTAATATTATGTTATCTGTGGCTTAAATAACTAAAAAAATGTTTTCAACAATAAAATCTTCAGGAATTTTAACCTATATCTCCCTATATATGTACTTGTGATAGTTGTGAGATTTTTACACATTACACTAATTTAAAAAATATTTTTGTTAACGTTATTTACATTAACAAAAATATTTGTTTTCCTAAAGTAACTTACGCCGATTTTTAAGACAATATGCAAAATGCAACCCCTTTGTAATTTTGCTCTATAAATGTTGTGTTTTATCGTGTTTGCAATTTGTTTATTATTTGAATCGTGTTTATAATTGTTGTGCGACCTAGATCTTTTAGGAAATCAGAATAAACTGTGATTTTATATTGTTCCCATTCGCTTCGGATGTTTTGTCTAATCAGCTATCGACTGGTGCACGTAGATTTTTTAAAATAGTGTCGATTAAATATTGATCTGGCGACTCCTTTGAATTTATGAATAATGTTACAGAAGATTTTCAAGTAACAAAATTCTCTGATGATTGAAGTGCTAATATTTTATTTCGCTTCACAATATTATAAATTTAAGAATACAGTATATTTATGTATAATATGTTCCTATTATCTGTACATATGTGACTTGTTCATACGAGATATAAGAGAGTAAGAGCTACTTAAACATCAATGTAGTAAAAGAACAACAAATAAATTGAAATTTTAAATCTACTTACATATAATAATTTTAAATGCGAACTGCAAACTGTCAAACGCGTAAAGTAATCGTTAAGTTTTCAGAATGTTCCTGACCAATTTCCTTAAATTTTCGTACTATAAGAACAGAAATAGAAAAAAGAAATAGAAGAAAGAAATTATTAAGTCGTTCTCAAGTTATGACATAACCAAGGAAAATGGGGATTCACTGTTATATATGTAGATATAAATTAAGAACAACATGATCATTTATTGTAAAGACATTAAATGATATTTTTTATTAATATATGACCAGGTCAGATGATCTACATGGACAACTGGCGGCTGATGATGTACCTCGGGACACCAGTGATGCCAGATCTATCAGCGCTCGTGTCAACTGGTCTTTATATTAATGATTTATCAATGCACGACTTTAGCAGGTATTTTAGTTATATTATTATGTATAATACTACTTAGTACAAATAAATTAATACAATATAACAATTATATTCCAACATTTAATGAGAATAAAAAAGTCTTCATCTATATAAACTTTTCGTTCATAGATCACCTCTTAGAGATGTAGCCGTGGTTGTATGGTCATTAACATATCTTTCTACCATTTTGTATAAACAGCAGTAGCAAACAAAGCACTATATTTTATTGATTTTGGGGATATATTTCAGAGATCTCATGCTAGCTGGTACTCAACAATCAGTAGAGTTGAAATTAGCATTAGACCAGGAACAACAGAAGAGCAAGAAACTCGAAGAATCCATGAGAAAGCTTGACGAGGAGATGAAAAGAACCGATGAACTCTTGTACCAAATGATACCCAAACAAGTTGCAGATAGGTTGCGGAATGGGGAGAATCCTATAGACACCTGTGAGGTAAGTTATTAGCTTAATGATTCGCCATTAATGATATCTTTATTCATATTGTTAGTAGTTGAACTATTCGTCATTATCGCATAACCAGGTTTTAAAGAAATTTCTTCTAACGCATACTGAGATTATGAAATAAACTACCTGCCGAGGTTTTTTCTAGAGACTACTTTATGTGATTTTCCAACAAGTTTTTTGGGATTTATAAGGTTTTAGGATGTAGGTTAGGATTGGCAAGACACTTGACTCCCCCGGTGTTTCAGTCGTCCATAGGCTACAATAATAATTTACGTTTCAAAATGAAATCAATTAGTAATTCGATGGTATTTATAAGGGTGAAGGGTCGACGCCGGATATTAATGAGATTTTGTATATTTAGAAAATCGTTTGATCTGAGCGAGATACCGATTTTGTACAAAGTGTAACTTCAAAATCTAACTGATTTTGTACGGTAATATATTTAGAGAGAGATCGGAGATAATATATTTAAATTTATGAACTACCGTTTAAAATCTTTATTAATATTGGCTATAAAGATTACGATCCTTGAATGTTTAATAATTTAAATGTATTGTAACAAGAATTGCAATAATCAACTATTATTGTAATTACACATTCGAATGTGTCTCTTATCATATGCTGATAAATGAACTACTGAATCTTAATACTACGAAACTCATCATAAGTACCCCCATTCAATAAACCCTTTAATGTCCTTTAATAAAATCTAACACAATAGACGTGACTAGACGGATACAGAGCGACTTAACTATGTGTACCTACCTAATAATAAGTTTATATAAACTGTTGAGAGAATTAAAATAAATTCAAGACTAGATATTTTAGTGGTGTTTTAAGTGGTGGTTTAAATATCTTCATGCCAGGTATTTCAGTGAGATAGGTAAAATTATTATGGTAATCTTTTGCTTCGTTTGTGTATCAATAAATAAACAAAAAAAATTGTTCATGAAATAAATGAGTAATTCATCTTACTTCCAATGGTTGCGGATTCGATTCTCATACTCACACAGCTGCATCTAGTCCCAAGCTAAGTAGATCTTGTGTTATGGGTATATAACTAGGTATATACTAGGCAACTGTTATAAATACTTACATATATTGTTTTTATAAATATTTGTATGTGTCGGGGTGTTATATATATTGATGTACATCCAAACATTAATAGTCGTTAACAAATGTTTACACAGTGCGAGGAATCGTAACCGCGACCATCGGAACTATGGCGATGTGCAGCGGTTAACTGCTAGAACATCGAGGCCGTCATTTTGGATTCAATTATTTGTATTGGTATATTTGTTTCCATGTATTTCTTATGATTCTTTTTATGTATTGAGGAATAGACTATAAGGGTTACTTTGTTCATCATCATAGAATGCTTCATTATAATTATATATGTACAAAATGGTGCCTACTGTTAACCACATCACAATGTACCACGGTTATCCTTAGTAAATAGTAAGGATAACATTGTAACAAAATCCTACAACTAAGCTTCAACAAAATTTAATACAAAGACAATGACTGTTATGCCTATTTAAAAATATTAACATAATATAAATATATACAGCCTAAGTCATTTTGAAATAATGCCTTTTTCAAGTAATGAAATAATTTCTAAAATCAGTGCAGTGGTTCCAGAGTATTGTTTCTTCAAAATAAAATCTTCCTTATCTATTTATATTTACTACTAGCTGTTCCCGCGACTTCGTCCGCGTTGTTTATAACTTTATTTTTCTAAAATATAAGTAGCCTAAATTACTCCTTATTACATCAGCTAACTGCCAAAAAAAGTCCCGTCCAAATCGGTCCAGCCATTTCAGAGATTAGCCGGAACAAACAGACCGACAGACAGACAGACAAAAATTATAAAAATTGTTATTTTGGTATATGTACCGTATATATATTCATATGCATGTAGTAAAAAACGGTTATTTCAATATTACAAACAAACACGCCAATTTTATTTATATGTATAGATTATTATCTGCGACTCTTGTTTTCTGATTGTTTTATAAAAAATAATATTCGTATTTAATAACGATAATGATAACGTATTTTAAACGATAGAGCGTTATTTACTAAAATATTTTATCTCAGTCGAATACCTCGATAAATGTAAATTATTACCAAAATCATCTTTGAACTGAATGTCGACATATTTCTTCAAACTAATAACGCGAACCAAAAGCAGATGAGATCTCAGAAATAAACAAATATCTATCTATAATAATATAATCTACACCTAAATAAGATACTATCAGTATTTACAAGTCGTAATATATGTAAGAGAAGAAAAACTTTATACTCTGCCTCTTACCATCTCATAAGTTAAAATTATGCCCCTCTTATGGGTATCTCACATGCTCTACAGTCAAAAATGCAATGACAAAGATTTAATTGCTAAGTGGTTACGATAGTGTCCATACAACCGCAGATGTTCGACAGCGTATCCATCCTGTTCTCCGATGTCGTCACCTTCACGGAGATCTGTTCCCGCATAACCCCGATGGAAGTTGTCTCCATGTTGAATGCAATGTACTCGATCTTCGACACGCTCACTGAGAGGAACAGAGTTTATAAGGTATTGATGTCTTAAATACTAAAAAAGTTACTTATATAAAGTATTAATTCAATAGCCAATATGCAAGTATCGTTTTGAAATGACTAAAATGTAGAGTATGTGAAAGATCTACAGATAATTTGTCAACTATGTTGGGTTAAAGCTAGGTTATATAAAGACCTTACTATGCAATATTATGTTTTCTGTGCTATTGCTAAATCACATGTTCAGGTGGAAACGATAGGAGACGCGTACATGGTAGTATCAGGAGCACCAGAAAAGGAAGATAATCATGCTGAAAAAGTATGCGATATGGCGCTTGATATGGTGGATGCAATCACGGACTTGAAAGACCCTAGTACGGGTAAGTTGTATTAAAATATAAATTATTTTCCAGATCTAAACGCTTTGAACAGCGTCTCTAAAGTATATTAAAAATCCCTCGATACGAAAAACGGATATTGCCTGAATTTTATATGAGGATACCGATATTATCTGTTATTAAAATATAATATATATTTTTTTCCAAATTATAAGAAAATATCTACGAACTTAGTGAAATCATCCGGTCCATCTTAAAAGCTAGTTCATTCTTTATTGCAAATGTGAATGTCTCAATATAAAATATTATAGCCTAAAAATCCTCTCGATAAATCGAAAAACGGATATTGCCTGAATTCTTTATTTATGCCAGCATGGTTCTGATTCCACTATGGTTCTAATTTCTCTTTCAGCCCTATTTTGTTCAGGACTGTATGACACATATTATCTGTAAATTTAATTATAGTATTAAAATTTTCATTGTATTCTTAAAACAAATTATAATATATATTTTATAAGGTTGCACCCTATAAATTTTATAAGCAATGTCCATGTGTAAATATCTAAACGAACTTAGTGAAATCATACCTTGTTCATAGTTAATTTGATGTCTTTTTTATGGTCTTGAAAGTTAGTTCATTCTTTATTGCATAATGTACAACTCTGTGTGTGCACATACTTTATTATTTCTTATGAACTGAACTCTCCTTGTGACATAGCCTTTGACAAGAGCTGCATTCAATATATTAAGTACATATAAAAATTATATTACATTGGTAACCATTATACTTGTAAATGTACTGTACCATAACCTTGGGCGTGTATTATTGTTCCATCTCCAATAACTATCCTTTTTTGAATTGACAAGCTTTTATATTCAGTAAAATATGTTTTATTTATACACATGTGTTCTGATGCCCCACTATCTAAGTACCATACATCTTGGCTTTCTGTTACAGTTGACAATGCAGTTATAAAAAATGCATTTTTATCAGTGTACCAACAATAATGACCCTGTTTATTACAAATTTTACAATATTTTGTATTGGTATTGTAATTTATATTTTTATTACTTGTCAGTTTTGCATGACATTCCGACTTGTAATGTCCTAATTTATTACATCGAAAACATCTTCTAGTATTTTTACTTTGTGTTGGTAAGGCTATGTGTAGTGTTTCATTTTCTTCTTTTTTATGTTCATTATTCCTATTTTCCTCTATTAACAATCTTGCTGTTAATGTTGATAATTTCCTCTCGGATACTGGTACGGAGTCCCAAGCTGATATGAAATGCCTGTAACAGTGATGATATTATTTTAGTTATTCATATTTTCTGAAATTTCACCTCCGATTTGGATTTGTCAAGTCTTCAATTTTAGCCAAGTATGATGACATATCTTCATCGTTATATTTTATGTTATAAAATTTTTGTTGGCTGGCATTGTATCTGGAGCGCTTAAAAATGTAACATAACCAATCTGGTTACTGTCTAGCATTTTGGCTTTTGTTCATTTATATCCGGATTGATTTATCATTGTCCTCAGACACGTGTTTCCATCGATGATGTTCCATGGATTTTAATAAAATCTACTTGGAACTTCAATTTGAAGCCCCTTGCAATTGGATGCTGCTAGAATTTGCTTGATATATTGCAGTGGTGTCCATTGTAAAACGATTCGACTTGACCGCCGACACGCCGATATTGACCGCGTGGTTCAACTTTGTAATGCCTCTTTACCGAGGTTCCCAAAAACGAATTTATTTGTATTTGTGCTGGGCCCATAACCTGAAGGGTTTTATAAAAGAATATAACAGTCTGGGTTGTAAATAATACGTTATTTAATTTTTTATTATAGCACGACAATATAAGAACATATTTCTACGACGGCGCAGCAGAGAGAGAGAGACCTATATAGCGCCCTCTCTGTTATACAGTTTTAAGTGTGGCCATTATAAGAAAACTAAATTGACCTAGTGAAATAACTGTTGCCATATAAAATTATATTTAACAAGTTTCAACTTCAAATTTAATCACTTTTTAACACTAACAGCTGGAATGAACGTTTTCCAGGATCTCATTTATCAATCAGAGTGGGTGTCCACTCAGGAGCAGTAGTGGCTGGCATTGTAGGATTAAAAATGCCACGTTACTGTCTTTTTGGAGACTCGGTTAATACAGCATCTCGCATGGAATCTACCTCTGAAGCCATGAGGATTCACATCTCGCAGACCACAAGGGAACTACTGTCACCTTCGTATATGGTTACAGAAAGGGGAGAAATACAAGTTAAAGGCAAAGGTAATTTATTGGTTTCAAGATAAGTGGTTAGTAATAAATTTTAAGACACCATTCAGTTTTCACATGTGATGAAGTATGATAATAACACCGTTTCTAATGTATTATTATTATATACAATGCATTTTAAAGAACACGTGTAACATGTAGGATTCATTTTATTATATTTAATTATAAAAATATAAACACTAATATTTTTTTCAGTATGCTTTTATTTTATATGATTACAATATAATATTTGATAATATGACAAAATAAATGTTATAAGTACTGCAATATATCACAATGAGTGCTCGTTCATTATTAACATATTTTATATATAATACTATATTACAGAGACAGACATGACATATGTTATAAAATTTGTACCGAAATAATTACAGGTTCAATGAAAACTTACTGGCTAGAAGGGCGAGAATCCAGACCATCTTTAACAAAGGTCATATCTCCACAACTACCACCTGGCACCGAATTAGAATGGGAAAGAGCTGCCGATATTCGCGATAGCATTGCTGAATATTCTGCTCAACAAATGAATAATAAAGAAACCTATCAACACCTGCCTAATTCTGTAACTTCCGGATCTAATTCGCTAGTTAATAGCCCTGGAAATTTGATGACTGTTCAACCGTCAACGCCTATTGTCAAGAGCCAAGTTAGGTCAAGTACTCCAGCACCTATAGTAATGTCACCAGTAGAAGAGAGAAGGATGTATTCTCCTGTCACTTTTCAAGATGTAGCTAGGAGGAGTATAGCAAACTCACCTAATAGAACAGATAAAGAAAGAGGTATGTTAGTAAAACATGCGTGTATTTTTATTGCTAAATGTAGACAGAATTAATGAAACGCGAATTACATCTTTAACTCCAAATTTATTTCATACTCCAAATTTACTTGAGTTTTTCTATATGTTCATTACTTCCATAATCATATTATTATTTGTTTTCATTTGACGACGCCAGTGGTCTAGCACGCCTTAGCTCTTATGATCGCGGGTTTAATTCCTCGTTCTGTACAAACATTTATATTCATGGCTATAATTGTATTGGTCTGGATATTTTCTATGTATATAATGTATGCTTTTACAAAAAAATGGTTTTTAATATTTTAGTATATTAGTTGTCTAGTAGGTACCCATAACACATGCGGCGCATGTAAATTATCCGAGAATATTATTAGGTATTAGTATTTTATTTCGTTCTGATTAGTTAGGCTACCAAAAAAAATCTTCTCTTAAACATTGTCTCAGTTAATACAATTTGGTTTAAATAAATAAAAAACAGATCATCTATACTGGTATAGAGATAACAGACTAAAAATTGAAAATAAAATAATCTAAAGTCTAATAATCATATTATTTGAAATCTTGATAGGAATATCTATAATAGTACAATATTTTCATTTTATCAAAATTTCAGATACAAGATCAAATTCAACAGGATTCGCTGGTACTTGGACTGACGTGGACAACGACCCAACGAAAACGCTCGTCAGTTATAATTCGTCATTGTGGTAATACTCGAAATATAATTTCTTAGTTTGTTAGATATAGGTATTCCATAATTACAATAATAGTGAGTTACACTTTTTATAGTATGTTGTAAATTTTAAGTTACAGTTCACCATCCCCTTGCAGAGTTGAGACCGCGCCTGTTTTCAAAGAACGAGAACCAGAAAGCTGTATAGAGAAGGTGGTAAGTTCTAAATAGAAAATTACAGTACAACAACAATCAATATTATATTATTTTGACTCCCGATCAATCCGCCGTCCCCTTTAAACGAGAATCGAAATTATGACGGCCTGAGCTGAGGTTTGAACTCCGAGCGGTGCCCTCAGACAAAAGTCTTATCTGTCAGGCAGGAGTTGGCTTTCAGTCGCTCCATAAACTCAATTCTGCGGGTTTGAAGTACTATCTGCAGGCACCGCCTATCGATTAGTGAAGCTGTAAAGCATGCAGCCAAAAGCAGACAGAGAATAAATAAATAAAAAAAAATTGTAGTCCGAAAACAGAGAACTATTTTGACATAATAGATTTTATATGACCGTCACATTCTGTTGGTTATTCTTCCAAAATTTTTATTTGGAATATTCGATACAGAAAAATTTATTTTTAATAATAATTTTAATTTTGAAAAAACAATTTTTATTTTTAACTACATTTAAAAAGTGTCAACAACGATAATAAAATACCAGAAAGAAAATTATATTTTGCAGCGCTTTTCTTTTATTTTTTGCGTTTTATTTATTTTTAATGCTGAATTTAATTTTAATACAGAGTACCGAGCACAATAGATCTAAAAGGTATGTTAGAAGATGCGTTATATATTTGTTTTCAATGGAATATTCTGTTCTGTCTGGTAAAATGTGGATTAAAGCAAGTTCTTTCTTGACTCATGCAGGAGTATTTAGAAAGGAATTTGGAGAATCAAGAACTAGCTAGTTATATTAGATATTGAACTTTATTAAAAATTTCTTTATAGTGTGGCCACATAGTGCCGCCTGCAACCGACTCATGTTCCACGCTCCGGCCTGATACCAGCTCCTCGATATCACCCAGTCAATGCAGAGAAGAGATTGGTGAGAGAATTTAATAATCCAGTCATCTTATCTATATAATATTAATCCAGAAAAAAAGTTATTTAAATCTTTTTATCATTACATAGTATAAAACAAATTCGCTGTCGCTGTCTGTCCGTCCCTATGTTTGCTTAAATCTTTAAAACTACGCAACGGATTTTGAAACGTTTTTTTATAGATAGAGTGAGTCTTAAAGACAATTTATGTATAATACATGTACACCCGTATGAAGCCGGGGCGAGCAGCTAGTATGCAATAAAGGAATATTTCTGATTAACTGTCCTATTAATGAATCTATATTGCATACAGAAACTGACACAGAGTATCAAGATGCCCATGGAGAAGTAGCCCAAGATGTTCACATCTGCACCATATCAGAAACCATCGCTGAACCAAATCATTCAAAACCGGGTAAAGTGAGTAGATTTAAAGCCAAAATAGCTCCGGGTCATTTAAAAAGCTGTTCTCACAAACCATCAAAGGATTCAATTAAAGAGAAGACCCAATCATTACAAAGTAATGTTCAGCCTCATGGACATCATCATTCGAAGAATGTAAACCATCATCAGTGTTGCGGTGCATTTGGCAATCCTCATGTTCGACATAAATCTAGTAATTCGAGTTGCCATCTTATTTAAGATGTTTATATTTGAGATTCTTCATTGTATGTTTCATTTTCCTCAATTGATATGTTGCTACTAATTACGTTCTCTATTAATATATAATTTGTTTATGTACACAGATAGACTTTAATAAGTGAAATATACAATTATATAGATACTTTGTATTAGGTATATGTACATTAACAAACGGTTATCTTTCCAACAATTCTATCATATCTTAAATACGATTTAAAGAAAGATTCTCACAGAAAAATACGTAAGTACAAAAAGGATTCTAATAAAATTCGTGTATTTTTAAATGGGCACATAATTATGTTTGTCTTGTACCTAACTATATAAATATGATGGATACCAAAGATATAATTTTAATTCACATGGAATTATTTTTTATAATTAGATATTATCTAGATTTTTTTATTTATAAAATATTTTACTGGACAGTGTTAAAAGGGTTATTACAATTGTTTTATAATTAAGCATCAATTGTAAAAACATTATTACCAGTATTGTTTAAGTGTATGGTCTCAAATATAAGACTTAGTTAACACACTCATTTCAAAATACACTTCTATGCAATCACATAAATAAAAATCATTTTTCTAGTCTCATTGCGTATGGGGTGTTAATTAGAGTTAGCTTAATCAAATGAGCAAGTCCTCGTTGGATAGCGATCATGGTTCCACTATATAATTAATAGGTTGGTATTGGTATATATATATATGATGTTGTCTATTTATATATCTAGTTGCAATTCAGATAATGTTTAAAACTATTTTACATTTATTTATTTCATCAATAAATACATTGACATGTTACTTCGTGCATAATGAATGCTCACATAATGTAATATTTCAGTTGCCCTTCCTAAATTTAATTTCTATTCTGTCTCTTCATACAAAAATAATAATTCAGCATAGAGTTTATACAGTATTACTATGTGGTAGATACAACAGAATTATACAATTGTTCAAGTATTGATAGTTATAATATAGATTTATATAGAGTAACTTATACATTGTTGTATAACATTTTATTTATAAGTATTATTGATTACAGATCTCAGTGTATGCATCCCAAAGATTATAAGAATATCAATGAATAATAATATAAATCACATTATGAGCTTTATTCAACGACAATAGAAATAAATTATAATAGAATATCTAATATATCAAGAAAAATTGACACTGTGTAACAGTGGTGCTAGATAATTGTAAAAAAAAAGTAGAGGAATGTTTTTAAATAATCATTTGATAGATTTTTTTTAGTCAAAGTTAAACGATATTTTTCTTGTAGATTATATTTTTACATGATAATTAGTCTATAACTGATTTTAATGTAAGTATATTTAGGAAATACTTTTTCAAATGTTTATATAGAATAAGTGTTAATCACATTACATCAACACCAGCTTTACTTAGTACTTAATGAAAATATTATTTCGAATTACGTAAATTTTATAGTATCTCGATTTAGGAATAAATTCGTAAATAGTACTATTTCTACATTTAACATAGGTAATAAATATACTTTCTTAATTTTGAGGCGGGCATTATTTACACGTAAAAGTTAGATAATCATTGGAATATCATCTTCCCGCTGCTTTTCTGTTTATCCATAATCATGGAGGTTGTAACACTACACAATGCAACAGTAAATGAAACATTGAAAATGATATTTTGTCTATCAGTCCTCCCTTGGTGATACGCTAAATTGAAAAACTTTATATGATGACAGAGCGGCTAAACAAAGGTACAGAAGTTTTGTGAAATAATTATATTGTAATATATTTTAGATAAATAATTTTAAAGAAATCGATATCGAACATAATGTTGTACAGTATTATCTCAAGTGATTTACTTTATTTTCTGCTTTTGTAAGTACCTCATTCAAGTCTAGCTTTGTTAAATATTTTTTCCCCGCACGATCTTCTAAGTTCAGATAACTGCATGAATCATTCTCAACTGCCTTGCGGCCATACCTACGACGAACTTTCGTTTCGAGATATTGTACTATGTACAACTTAGTAGGTCAAAAAGATATATATTTCGTTTTACATTTTGTTGCTTTGCGCAAATGCAGACATGCTGAAATCGTTTCGGGCTCATTATGTTCAAAAAGTTTTTCTTTGGTATGTAACTTAATTGATCGCTATTAAGACGAACAAATGCAATCAATATAAAAAACCTAACAATGGTTGCCGTGTACTGGATAATAAACAATGCTATATCAGGCTACTCTTCATAAGACCAGAGTTTGGGTTCACAATAATCACACGGGCCTGACAACCAATGCTACGATATTTTACTTTTTGCGGCATATACTTCGTCCTTCTCTTACAATATCCTAGAGTTGATAAGTTCGTAATAAGTGAATAAAAAAAAATACTTTCATGTATTTTTTTTCACAAAATCATAACTTATTGCTACAGTTTTGAGTACACATTTGTTTTGAATGAAATTATTATAGCAAACAACTGTAAAAGCGGGATACTGACATATTGTATTCCAACTGGCGGACTAGGGGCAAAGTGGGCCCTGGGCAACATTGTAATTCCGTCTTTTTTTAATCAAGACACATATGTATAACATGCGTTTCGTAGGTTTAAAAAGTTCGGCTTCTAGGCAAGTGCCTAGGTTGCCTAGATTTTACTACGCCCCTGTTTCCTCTGTAAACTTATTTATGACACATTTATGTTGAATTTATTTTGAAATAATTATTTATATACACATATAATACACATTTGTAACAGATATTCCTTACCCTGTTGTTTTGTACCCTGCCTCTAGCTTTACAGAACTTTACATTCGTCTGTAGCAATACCATTTCTCCTCAAGCTTTTTAGAAAGTGTCGACTTCGTAACAACAGCACAAGTAATCTCCAGCGGCAGTTCGACCTTAATTCTCTTTCACTCTGGAGGTCATCACCCTTGATAGGCACGCGTGAAGTTACCACACTGCCTTTCTCCTTGCCAGGCTCATTTCATAAGCAAATCATTTATTTTATCACTTCATAAAAAAACATATAATATAATATATCAGCGAGCATCATTTAATATATCAATCATTATAATAATCAGGGCTAACCAGTCTAGCGGTTTAGTACACTGCTTTACTTCCGATGGTCGCAAGTTCAATTATTTATGAAAAATTTGTATTTTATTAGTATGATTTTTTGTATCATTCTGGGTGTTGTCTTTGTATATTATGTATGTATTTACAAAAAAATATCTGAGTTTTTATATCAGTTATCTAGTACCCATAATACAAGTTCTGCTTACCGTGGGACTACATGGCGCCGTGTTAATTGTCCAGGTTTATTTATTTATTAAAAATCCGTATTTAATATGTGCAATAAATGCAATCTGATACGAGACCTTCGTGAATTTCTAAATCTAGCTGGTAGAAACAAAAATTCATCTGAGACACGATAGTAGGCTCGCCATCCATTTTAAATTAATATTTATATATAGATATATATATCAACTTTTATCTTGCATTATATATTTATTTTGGATCTCCACAGTAAGTCACGTTACAAACGTGACGTTGTCCGTATCGGCTACTATATCTGAATTACTCGTACTTTTATCTTTTTTCGGTCCCTTAGTCACGTTCGTATTAAAAACTATCTTTATAACATGGACCTAACTCCAGCTTATAACATGAAACTACTTAATACATGTGTATTGAGGAGAAGAGATTATTACAGTAAGTTATTCCATTGCTATCAATATGCTACGTCTGGTTGACCTTCAAGTATTCATCTGCTGGAAATCATAGTTGTTAATTCGCGATGAAATTTCCCAAATGTACCATTCTACTATCGTCTATAAAAGAAAATACATATGTGCTAGAATAACAAACACGACAATGTTCCGTAGACGCAACTGTTATGCCGGTTGAACACGACTGCTCACCGCACACGTTATCCGGAACACGCTTTTCCTGATTCGACTTATCCATATTTCCTGAAACGAAGTTCGTCTTTCTAGTTTTTAAAGTACTGTCTAGGACTTCCTGATTAAAACTTTTTTGTTTTTAGTCAAAATATAGCTACATATATATATATATATATTTATGTGATTTCAATTTCGAGACTGTTTTGTTTGTTTAAATTTCGAATAGATTTTGAAAAGCGAAAAGGGATAATCGAAAGAGTTATTAAAACTTTTATAACCTTCTTTAATAAATTTTTCTTATGGTGTATTCTGATAAAATTCTTTAGGAAGGAAATAAGTCAATAAATTTATAATGTAATTTGTATTTATATATAATTGTAACGCATAAATGTAAGCGCTATCTAAACCAGGAATATGTCCGAAATTTAATAGTTATGTTACAATTATTTGCATATTTTTGTTATTTTTCTTAGATACCTATCTGAAAAGCGAATGCAGCACACTTATTTCTTTAAACTTGATATATTATATAGGCGCAATAATTTTAGCACAACTATTTAAGCTAATATTAACATTTTAATTAATCATAGTATTGTCAGCTGATTGTAAACTACAAAGTTATTTGAGTGTTGTGAGTCAATTAGGCGATATTTTTATCTAGTCGTTTTGAGATTAAACGTTATGTAATATAAGTACTACTTATTTTTATTTATTAAATTGTTGTAAATATACTTGTGGCATTCATTGTTGATTATTAATATGTACAGACAGTATTCCAAGCGTTCATATCACGCACATTTTGGACACTAGAAATCTAAAAGAACGTCTTGATCCATTTGTGTAATAATTAATTGATTTATTATACAGGATGGAAAAAACGAGTTAGTCATAAAAAGGTGTATTGAAGATAGATAGTATCATTGTTTTGTATTTAAAAGCACGAACAGCACTAACTGATTGGTCAAAAATTTATCTAAACTGAAAATTCAACCATCAATACATATAAATGTAAGTACTATCCACTTAGGTATATTGTAAGTACGAAATTGACATTGAGTAATGATTTTAGAGAACGTGAAATATTCACTTCCTTCCTGATTCACAGGTTTTTTCCACCCTGTCTATGATAAATATTTTTCGACACCTTTACAAAGGTGGAAAGGATGTGATTGTACTGCTTAAATATTCAATAGTTATGTATTTGTTTTACGATATTACCTACTACTTTTTGTAGGATATATATATATATATAAGGTAAATTAATATGTGCATTGACATTATAATAGTAGATATATTTAAATACTTATAGTATTTTATGTAAACATAGGTTTGTACCTACAATGAAATTATTTCTTTAACGCCGAATTTATCTCGTTAACACGAGCCCTATTGGTATTTATTATTTTATTGCCAAAGTTGTGAATATCACTTATGTGGAAATAAAAAATATAATTAAGTCTTGGTATTTTTTACAAACCCTATAAAAAAAAATAAGTTTTACAGTGAGTACCCAAATTCAGTAGATTTCGATAAAACAAATATGATCGTAGCATGTAAAACTAGTATTTGCTTGTATGTTTAGAATTCTTATTGCAAAGTAAAACGAAAAAAAAATGTTGAAAGAGACACACAATACAATAAAGAGCGTCAAAATATTATAGGATTTCATTTGTATGTATATTCGTGTAGAAAATAGCAGAATACTACAAATAAGTTTGGCCAATTTTAGCTCTTAATATAAATTTTATGTATGTAGTTATTATTAATTAATAATAATAACTATACAAAAAGTTACATTACACTGTCTAAAATTAAAGAGAGTAAGTAAAAGACGTTATACATATTTACAACATTTTAATATAATAGTCAAATAACTTTACAAAAACAGTCCATATTAAAAAAAAAACAACATAATTATAGTAATTATAAAAAATTAAAGCAATCTTACATAATAACATACATGTAATTGACCTAAACCACATTACTCAAAACTTAACTCAGTACCCTTCAAATGTTGTTCTGCCCACTCATCGAACCTTCTAGACAAATCATCCGACATGTAATTCTTCCAATCTCCAATCTCCCCTTTCCTGATAAATCTCAAATCAGTTTGTTCCAAATAGCTTTTGCCAAATGATTTCTCCAAGATAGCTTCTAAATTGACAGCTCTATTACTTTTCATATTTTGGAATGAGAGATGATCGCACAATTTCTCAACTTCCATGTCAGACATGGTTTTGCCGAGGAAATGTGCCGTCTTCCTTATTACGGAAGGTAAGTCCCGTTTCATTTCTTCAAACTTGATGAAGAGCAAGTTAGGATCATGGCGTCTGTTCCAGAAACCTGAGAAAAGAAAAAAATAAGATATAGTAATCAATTACCTCACTCAGTCATGACCAAACATAGAAAAATAAATATTCTTTAGCAATTAAACAATATAATACATATACAGTAACAAACTAGTATAGACTTAAATATGAAAAATTATCTTAGTAATCAGTTTTTGAAATATTCGCTTCATGTAGAAGAACATACCAAACACATTATTGAACCTAGGACCTAATATAAGCGGAAACATTTTTGTAATTCTATCATCATATAGATACCATAAAACATACCAAGAATATGATTCCAAACTGGACCGAATGGGGCGCGGTCCCGCATGAACAGGTCGCAGAACTCTTCGAAGGTACCTTTCAATCCATGGACTAAGGTACAATAGTGGAAATACGAGACCACCATATCCTTAGGGTTGCGGGATGTGTATATGATCTGTTGATAAAGATAATTTAGGATGTACTGAATAGAACAATTGGTCTACTACTTTATTTTTATCTAACTAGAATTGCATACAAACTAATGGTCCATTTGATGGCAAATGGTAACTGTCGACTGTATACATAAATAGCACTACGACATCATGTTATTATTATTATTATTATACTCTTCTCAAGTAGGCCGTCATTAGCAAAAAAAATCTAAGATCTCTGCATACAATTGCATCGATGCGAATCTGAGGTGGGTCATTAGTTATAGTAATTTAACATAAACAATAACTACATAAAAAATATTAGTTTACATTATAGAAAAGTGTTTGCTTTACCTTGGGCTTCGCAGAACCATCTTCTCTTTGTATGTCAAGCGGTAACAGATCCCAAGGCAGATGGCTACGTATGTAGCGAGGATGGGGCAGCCGATATTTCACCAAGTCGACAGAGGTCCCCTTCACAGATTCGTCATGCCATTCCGCATGACCATCCACCATTATACAAGACAACTCTACGAGAGGACATCGGATCTGCAAAGATTAATTCCATTACTGATTATCTTGTTCCACAAAAAACAAACACTATTTTATCTTTATAGTAGAGTTTTCAATACTGAATAAAATCCTTCCGCACATTATTTTTCGAAATTACATAGAAAACAAATGTACTAATACAAATAATCAAATTCTTTAATTCAAATGTCGGCCTCGATGAGCATCGAACATGTGCCAAACCTCTAGAAAGAGGTTTGGCACAACGCTTTACTTCCGATCGCGGGTTCGATTCCTCGCACAGTGCAAACATTTGTATTCATGAGTTATATTGCTTTTATCGGTCTTGGAGTTTTCTATGTATATTATGTATGTGTTTACAAAAAAAACTATATCTTTATATATTTATATCAGTTGTCTTATACCCAGACTTTTTTCACAGTTGTTTATATCTATACACATTATACATAAACGGAATATTCAAGAGCAAACACTTGAATATTTCGTTTGAATGGCAAACAATTATTAGTGGTGATGATTTACAAAATACTAGAGAGAGGATAGACAGATTGTCAGCTCGTAATAATTGTTTAATCCACTGCCATCTTCATTCAACCCATGACCAGGACATTTATAATAGAGTCGATATATTGGGATCTCATAAAATAATTATCATAGTAAATACAACATTTCTATAATCTATACAACGCATAACGCATAATTTAAATTGATGTGGAATCAAGGAAAGTAGTACGCAATATTCGTATGTAGAAAGAAACCGGTTTTATTGAGAATTTCCTTTCATTATTATATAAGATGTTATTTGTTTACGTTATTTTCAGGCAGGCTCTATATGGAGTAGTCATACATAATTAAATTGATTGCAATAGTCATATATGTACCAAACCAAGTTTCATATAAATATTAGCATTTAGCTGTCACTGTATTTTTTTACTAATTATTATAAAAATATTTGTGATCAAAAAACTAAATTTGTAAAGCTCGTGATACTCCTTAAACGAGGGATAAAAGGGATTATTGTAAGAACTAGTAGCCCCAATGCTAGTTCTATCAGGTCGATCTCAATGAAACCACAGTAGTTCATTACTGACGAATTCACCATGATAAACTAACTGTGTCCTACAACATATAATGGTAGCTCAGTAGGATACACCATAGCATAATCATCGGTTAAATGTATGTACCATTCCTAAGGACTAAAATAGCAGGCCAGCATTGCTACAATGTATCCATTAGTTTGTCTTTAACATAATATCGATTACAAGTCTACGTCCGATCCAACCGCATTGGATTGCTCCGATTCGGACCTTTTTATATCTACTCTTGAATAATACGCATATGTAACAATTCTTAATCAAAGTAACAATTAACTGATATTTTTATAAATTTACATATAATTCAGTCTTGATTATGTTTCAAAAGAACAGTATAATAATAAATTGCATTGTAATCGATATGGATTCCAGAATAGACCTGCTGGACTGGAATATTGTAATTACCTCGAACAGTGGTGCATAAACCACGCTATACTCCTTGCATAACCATCAGAAACTTGCATAATGGTATTTCGAATCACACGGATGCACACGCAGAAGTTACTACCCAGGAAATTTTGTTGCATAATGTAATCATAATATTACTAATTCATTCCAACTTATTTTTTCCTTATTTCTAAGAAAAAAGTAGGTAAAAAGTATACCCGGATGAAATAAGCAATATTAACATTATTATTATTGTTAACCTTATCAGAATTTGAGAAATTATATTACCTATATACTATGTCACATCTGAAAATGAATTTTCATATCTCAGGCAGATTATTATAATATCTAATACCTAATAGGTAGGTACGCTTCCTTACTGACTTTCTTTCAAAAAAAGATGTCAGTTTTTTAGTGTATTTTTTGTGTTGTTATTCTTTTTAGATGTTGAATTTTAATTCGTCAAATCAATGTTTATGATTTATTTCTTATTCTAAGCTGGAAGGATTACACGATTATTTGTGAAATATCGAAAATCTTTGTTATCTAGTCAATATATTACAAAACTTTTAAAGTATAAATTTGAATACCTAATAAAGAATATACATACCTACAATACAATTCCAACCTAATCGGAATTCAAATCCTACACATAGAATCTACATAAGATCTATTGATCTGTTATTGTTAACATTATAGTCATTACATACGTCCAATATTAATTTGTTACATCGAAACAGTTATACTATGTTATATTATGTTATCTGTGGTTATACCAAACAAATAACTTATATAATATCAATACAGGTTTTTATGGTACCGGAAATGGCAAACAAGTAGGCCGATGGTTACCTACGGCCAATGGAAAGTTCTGTTTATATCTTGAATACATGAACATCACAGGTGATCCTACATACATCCATGGTAATCCTGAGTAATATTTATTTTATCAAGATTTTTGTGACTTACTATGCAGCATAAAATCTTTATATATAAAAATTATGTATCACGTTTTTTGTCCGCGATGGACTCCTAAACTACTGAACCTGATTGCAAATTTGATTTGCACATTGTGTGCAATTTGATCCAATTTGAAAGATGATAGCTTACATCTCAATTTCATAAACCTTAGCCACGACAACGCGTGATAGCGCGTCTACTTTTTATTTTTTATTTTGTTTTTATGATTTGAACTATCAAGAAAACTATTGCACAGAATAGAATAAGTACCTTTAATCTCATAACGTTGCCGTTGTTACCATAGTTCACCTAAAATCTTAAAACCCTTATATATCCTTATTTTAAAAGAAATAAATAGTAATTACTTTTATTTTGTGAATTAAATACAAACTTAATAATGAAAATGTTGTAGTATGTGTTGTCAAAATTTGATTAACCCTTTTGATTTAGTGCTCAAGAACGTGAGAAGACGAATGAATTTTTTTTTGTACTAGCTGAAAAGTTCTTCAAAACATTCATCAACTTACAGTAAGTGTTTAGTATCTTTACAGTAAGTCATAAATACTATCGGCTATAATTACCTACATCATACTACATTGTATTCTTCAATCAATCACCAATAAGTAAATATTTAATCAGAATAAGAATCTACATTAGGAAGGTAGTTTATAAGGAATTTTTCCATACTTCTCCTTTATACTGACGTTCATTTCATGTAATTTATTTTATTTAAATAATTTATTTTATTTTATTTAAATGTCATTTTTATATCTAGGTACATAGAAAGCTTTCATGTCATATTATTCATTGTTTCCTGATAGTACCACGAATTTAGCGGAATTTTCTAAAACAATGAGTTCAAGAATAGAATAGAATAGAAAATCATTTATTCAAATAAACTTAATTTAAGCACTTTTGAATAGTCAACATTTTTTTAAATCTACCGCTTATTCGGAAAGCTGTCTCATCACAAGAAGAATAAGCAAGAAACTTGTGTGTTGCTCTTTTAAACAATCCTTGTAAGTTCACATTTTACAAGTCGAAACGTGTGAATACAAACTACCAACCAGCACTAATTTATTTGGGCTCAAATATAAAAACACAATAAGATTAAATCAGTCTAGTGATAAGAGCAGACCAGTCCCTACAAGCAGCACTCGTTCACGAGTATGACGGATGAGCCAGCCATCAATGCGCTCGACCATATTTTAGGGAGCCCAATGACCCGGCCCACCACGCCGCCACATGTCTGGAAATTTTAGTGAGCATGACTACTCATTCCACTCGACCACGTCACAGCTACAAAAATTACTATATGGTAGTTACAGTATTCGCACTTTACATGAGGATGCATGCAGCAATCAATACAAAAGCCGCTATGCTATCATATATCAAGAAAGCAGTATGAAAAATAAATTGTAACGTTGTCCGCAAATAAACTTATACTTGCTATATATTGCTATCATCTATAAATTCATCTATCCTATAATAGGCTTTTTTACATAACATTTGTTTAATATAAAATTTGAATTGCAATTCAAGCAAATAAATAGACATGTTAGGGGGATTGACGCCATATAGCCAAATTATATTTTTAATCTAGAATTTCAGATAGGTAAATGCGGTCTTGTCTATGTTTGCCATGAATCAATTGTTGTTAAATACCAATTTAATCAGTTTCTTCTCTTAAAACGGAATTCGGGTATTAATTTACATAAAATATAGATAGAAATGATAAAATTAGGTACATTGTAGACGTAGATCTAGAATATATATAGAAATATGTGTTCACTATCGCGTAAAGCTGCATATTTGAGTAGTGTTAGATGTACATACATAATGATACGGACTTACCTGTTGCAATGACTTTGCTCCTTCATAGTCCAGATCGTGTCCAATTAGCCATACCATTTCTTGAGCCCACGTAGAACCTTAACAAACAAACACCTTTAAATAAATAGATAGATATATCTCCCTATAATGCATGTTGACTGATTTTAAAAACGCTATGGTTGCGGTTTTTTTTTTCTTCTATTGTCACAAATAGTCCATTGTTCACTTATTAAAAGTTACATTCAATGCCGTATAAAGTAGATATTAGGCAGAGTAGAAAACTGTTTTGGAGCCCTGTGGGCACACAATAATATTGAAAAGTTTCATTAAGTGAAAACTCATTTAGATTTTTTTTTTTACTAATGAAGAAAGTTAGACCACATTTTTCTTATCTAGTACTAGCAAGCATTTTTGCATACGGATTTTTAAATACAAATATTTAAACTTTTTTTTAATCTATTTTATTTTTATTTGTGGATACAGAGTGACCAGTATAAGTAAAATATTAGAAAACTTGATTAAACGATAGGTCAGCTACATAGCTTGAAAAACCAATAACCATTGAGATAAAATGTTCTTGAATGGCAACTCCTTAAGCCGTCACAGTATAGACTACTCTGACTAGATGAAGCGACCAGTAGAAATGTTCTACAGGAAATCTATACATATAAATAAAATTGGAGTATCTGTTTGTAATATTGAAATAACTGTTTTTTACTATGTAGTAATATGCATGTGTATATGAATATAAATACGGTACATACACCAAAATAACATTTTTTGCAATTTTTGTCTGTCTGTCTGTCTGTTTGTTCTGAATTGGCTGGACCGATTTATATTATTATTGAAAAATTCTTTAATTTTAGAAAAATTAAAATTAAATTCCACGCGGACGAAATTGCGAGTACAGCTAGTTAATAAAATGTCAGTAACATATTAAGACTGTTCGTGATGGTAGAATAAAGAAAGCCTATGTTAGGATGAATTATTTAGACTGCGAATTATAGAAAATACTTAACAGAACCGTGCGCAAAATAGTGTGAGTAAAATATAGAGTGTATAAAGTATAAAATGAGTATAAAGAATAAAATGAGTTTTTACTGTAGCTTATTACACATAAAACTGCTTCATAACTTTCACTACTAAAAACGAAGGTAGAGCTTTAGAGTGGTGCATTTTCCTTGAGCTTTGCTTGTACGTACTTTAAAAAAAAACATCACTCACCAGTCCTTGGATATGAACACATCCACACATCCTCTCCCAGCACCTCCATATCCAAAATATCTTGTCCTATGGTCATATAGTCCGCTGGCAATATTACTCTTCCCGGATTAATCTCCACCATGCAATCCTTTTTCTCGAACATTCTATCCAATGATTCACCTGTCTCATCATCCAGTTTCGAAAAAGTCAACTTCGGTTTTGTTCTCATTTTGAATCGTTGTTTTTATTATTTTTTAAAATTTCAGAACAATTTCACATTTACTATATATGAGCAAAGGAAAAGACGTCCAATGCCAACGTCGATCGGAAGTGCTATGATCGCGTGTTGTATGCCATACTCGGTATATTTTGTTCAACACTCTCACTGCACTTTCATTTGGACCAGAGTTCGCGGGGTTTCGTATACGATGTAACAGTTACGTAACTATTAGGAAGTTCGAATATTACTACCATCAGTTAGTTATAAATATCGGTAGGTTCTCGTTATCATAAATATTAGAAATGATGATATTTTTAACTTCATTTTAAATATTCATGAATCCATATAGTATGGACTCTTTTAAAATGCCGTTATGGATATTTGCTTCTTAGGTAACAAAACAATAAAATTACTTAATAGTTGTAAATAATTAAATACCCATCGGAAATTTTGGAACGTTTAATTATATATAATTATGTAGGTATTTATCTATGCTCAAATCAGAGCCGGCAGCGAGTTGATACAATTTCCCCTTAATAAATATAGAACTACATAAAAATACAATAATAAATTTATGCATAATTACACAAGACAACTGCAGTGGTTATTTCATTTAGCGTCATGGTTTCTTTCGCCGCAGAGTGCACAAAAGTTACAAATAATTATTCTTATGACTGTACCTAGGTAGGTATATACTTATTTATACTTGTTTTTTAGTGCATCAATTGTTTGTCAGGTTTGTGCCCACGCCTGAAGGCGAATTAATTAAGGAAGAACGCGTGGAAGTCGTCCTGATATGTTTTTTTCAATAAATAATAATAGAATGGCGTACTTGACTGAGCTAACGGTTTACGCTGGGGGAACAGAAGTGGAGGATGATAGGATGTATATGAGGTAAGATTAGGGCCGGCGAAAACGGGAATGCAACGCATGCGGAGTATGCGGGCGCCTCGTCGAAGGGGGCGCCATCACGAGATTCGGATGTATACTATAATTTTATTAATATATAGAATCTATAGAATACTTAATAAATTATAATAAATAACTTATTATACTTAACTATGAATATAGATACATAAACCGCGCTAGAATAAAAATTGCATGCCCGCATGCAATTTTTATCCTAGCGTGGTTTATTTATGAGGCTGCTGATGCTGAGGACCCTAGCACCGGCATTGGGTAAATCATAGCTTGGTGGGCCGTCGTGGCATCACCAGGAATTTATTACGATAGTTTCCAGGAGGAACCGCGTGAAGGTCAATCTGATATATCTGATACATTTATAGCAAAGGATTCACCACACCACCACATTTCTAACAATACCCTTACATCCCACCTGTCATGTTACATTGCTAACAATATTACATGTTATACCGGTAGTCCTCATTACCCTGTTACGCAGAAGTTGTGCTAATAAATTATGATCGTGGCATTAGCGATTAGGAGTCAGTGGGAATTTATTTCGGGTTGCAGGATGTTTAAGGGGTGGAAAGTGTGTTGTGGATGATTTCGCTTACCTCTACTACGGAAAGAATTACATCCACAAATAAAGCATATGAAAAGGATTTGTATATAATTGAGATTTAGAGCGAAGTATGGTGTGTGTACTGAAATATGTTACAGTTCTTGTCACTTTCGAAACGGATCGGAATTATTTTATATGGGTGATATTCAACAAGCGCAATTTTGACATGCAACATATGACGACAACGACGGTAGTTTTACAACATTGCAAATCACATGAACATTATATTGCATTATATTATCCTGTGACTCCCGTGGTAACCAACGGTAGGTACATCACGTGTAAGGTAATCCGTTGCCATTAAAAATGACAAAGGAAAGGAAGACCTCATGTCTCGCAATTTCACTACCTATTTAACTATACAATTATACGCTACATACATTTTGTAAATATATATTAGGTATAATAGTGTACAATTATTGTACTATTATACAATAGACTGTTTAGTGTCTTGTTCATCCACACAATTTAGTGTTTTCTTTTTAGGTGTGGCAATTTTATTTGTATACTGGCAAACTGTGCGAAGAGGACAATATCGCTTAGTTCGGAGTCTCATGCATTTCCCGAATTAGTAAACTTAACAACTTAACAAAATTCAATACGATCTTATATTGTATAACAAAGTGTTTTTCCACTTACATAAGTCCTAGGTTGGCAACTAAATGTACTCAAGTAGGTATATTGTAATCTAACATTAAAAAAGTTAAGTGATTTAGGCACAAAATTCAAGTAGGTCTAATTATTAATAATATATCTCAACGATCTTATTGGTATATACTACTAAATTTATTGTTTCTAATCTGTGAACATTACATCACAGATAATATATAGCAGCATTATAGTTATAATACCTTAACCCGGTCCAAAGAATACAAATGAAAAAAAAATTACTGTAAACAAAAAATAAACATTGATAATTTGAATCGCAAAGTATAATTTAAATTAAAAAAAACCATTTGTAAATCAAAATTGATAAATTAAATATGTCTAAGGTAACAAATGTAAACTCTAGTTTAGCTTATGAAATACTGTTATACTTAAATAGTTTTTATTTGGGTATGTTTTTTGTATGTGAAGTAGCTATGGGAATTTTAAAAGCTATTAACGTATCGTATCCAGAAAATGCATTATTGACCGAAGCAGGTATATTTTGTGCCTTGTGTCTTGTCGAAGTAATCCGTATTTTTCTAGGCCGAAGGGGGAACTTGGCTAGCAAAAGTAAGTAACTTGATAAATATGGAATTTTCAAATTAATCTATATCCTTTCTACTTAAAATACATTTGTGGTAATATACTATGTATTACGAAGAAGTACTAGACTTCGTCGTAATTTCATTTGAATAAATGTATATTTTTAAGTAGTAATTATCTTCCATGTTTATTTAGCTATGAGACAACTTAAAGGCATTCAGAAAAGCACCATCAGTAATGGGTTCTAATTTTTGTTTCCAGGAATTCCAGTTTTCTTATCAGTATTATTAACAGTGCCATGCGCTGTTGGTGTATGCTACTTTCTTATATACCAGACATACATTCTACGGCTGGAATACATATGGTGTGCAGTGATGCTAATATTCCATGCTCTGGAGCTTGCTTTTGCCATACTTTTCATCTTTACTGTTTGTAAAAATCAGCAATATGAATAGAATAAGTGTAAAAGTACCTCACTGCCAAAGAGATACGGAATGCCAAATATATGAACTAAGTGATACATTCCAATGTTTGTAACAAGTAGACTTTTGCCAGTATTATATTTAAATTCAAACTAATTGCCAGTATTATTGTGTTGTCATTTTCATATACATAGAATTAAGCTTTTATTAACTACATAATTAAAATTACAGGTTAGTATATTATTCTGAACATTTATCTTACATTTGACATAATTATTGTAAATATTTTTTTTATTAAATAACTGCTTATGATCTCAGAACAAGATTCTTGTTTGTATGTGGTTGTACCTTTAGTAGGTATTTAGATATATTCTAATAAGTACAATATGTATATAGTATTGTATGTATATAATTATTATGTAATATGAATTTGTTTAAAAATGTCTTATTTTATGTGCAATATAGACAGATCTCATTATTATTGTATATTATACATTATATGTTTAACTAATAGTAATATAAAAATAAAATTATAATATCATATTAGTTTTTATTTTTCTTGTCTATATCTATACTATAATAATACAATTATGATTACTCGACAGTGGGTGGTGTTATATGATCTGGTAATTTCTGACATTCAATTTTGGTGACCTTTAAGGCACATCCTTCTGGTAAATTCCTTTGAATATATTCTAAATATGTATCGCATGTAGACCCGGTTAGACGTTGTAAATGTATAAATCTGAAGTATGTTCTGATCTCGTACTGGACCTTATGTTTCTTGTAAATGTGCACACATCTTAAAAGAGTATGTCTCTCCTTCTCTGCTTTTCTCAATGCCCAACTGAAAAATAACTGAATATGTATAATACACAACATTGCTTAAATATGACAATATTATGCAAATATATATACTGTCATATTATACAACTTATTTTTTCCATTTCTATATACCATTAGCCTTAGCTATAATATTTTTTTTTGCTAGTATATATGCAATCAGAGTGTACTATAATTGAATTGTTTGGTGATGACTGACTATGCAAGTCTGCAGTCCTTCAAGTGTACAACTATTTATTTAAATGATACCTCCGGTGTTATGTGAAGATATCAAGAATTGGAGTACACTTTATAATTAATGATATATTTAAACACCAGACAGTCAGACAGCATATAAATATGACCTATATATAGAACACCTATTCTATATATATATATATATATATATATATATATCTAAAAATCTATTAGTTCTGTGATTTACTCTAGTAGTATAATTCATTTCAAAGTTATTCCTCACAATTAATATTATAAAGCTGCTAATACTGTGAACTTCTAGCCAACATTAAGTCTGTTCCACAGACAGACTCCACCTGAAATTTATTCAATTATTAAAAAAGAAATAACTAACTTCTTTGTGACTTCAATGCCCAAGTGAGATGCGGCTGCCACACAGAACCATGAGTAACTAAGCAATACAGCAGCATCAATGCCTCTCATTTCGAGCTCCACTCTCTTGTACAATTTATCCAATTCCATCGTGGGCAATACATTTTCTTTGGATATTTGTGATGGTATTGAAGTAATTGATGGTGTGGACGCAAATCGTAAAGCTATTAAGTTTGGCGATAACGTAGTTCGAATAGCCGGTGCTAATCTAGAAAGCCTCTGAAAAATTAAAAAATAACACTGGCAATAATTTAGGAAATATAATTCTAATTATTCACAGCTGCATATTAAATTTTATAACCTTACCTTGACGACATTCATCATTTAAGGGGTATTTATAAGACACCAATACAGAATCAACTGTATAATAAAAGGTTTAATAAAATGGGTTTAACTGAAAATTAATAAAAATAAATAATTATATCAAGCTTAATTTAATATTTAAACGACGATTTATAAATTACATATTTTTTTAAAAACAATAGTACCTAATTGACAATTTAGAAAGATTGACAGCTGACACTGCTGACAGTTTTTATAAACTTCATATTTTTCACGTCGCCTTTTAAATTCCCACTTAAGTAAAGTAGTCTGTGCTGTCAGAGTACATCACAGATTTCACAGAACACTAATAGCGGTGCGGTTACATTATATAGTATATTGTTTCCGGCATATTGGTTTTATAAACAGTTCTACGCGATTTTTACGACTTTCTCACGTATTTTAATGTGATTTTAATATCAATTAGTGTTATTTCTAAGCTATTTCAAACTTTGGACCTAATTACTATAACGTGCTAGGATGGATGTGAAATCATTCCTACATTCTTGGACTGCTAAAAAGGGTCTTACACCTAACTTCGATGTGCGCGCCACAGGTCAGTTAAAAGCCCTTTTATACTATTATTTACTTCGGTGTAAACTCAGTTATTTAAATTACAACATTTTTGTCGCTAGGGCCCAAACACCGACAGCGATTCCTATGTGAGGTGCGCGTGGAAGGTATATCATATGTCGGAGCCGGTAACTCCATGACTAAGAAGGAGGCTCAAATGAATGCATCTAGAGACTTCATCAATTATTTGGTGAGGTCAGGGCAAGTGGCAGTAGCTGACGTACCTGAAGATGCAAAGGGTAAAACAGTACCCAACAATGTTAGCCAGGAGGAATCCTCTACTGGTGGAGCAGTAACACAGAATCAAAGACCAGTTTTTCAGGTAGTAGAAATAATTATTTTTAATTAAAATAATTTCCAATAAACTGCCATAAATACAGACATAATACAGATAGGACAACAATAACACCCAGAACAATACCAACAATCATAATTGTAAATTCAAATGTCTGTACTGTGAAGAATCATACCTGTCACCATCTGAGGTAAGGCAGTGTGTGGTAAATTATTATACCACAGGATCCACCATAATTTTAACAGTTTGGATTTTAAATAAAGATGAGTTTCTTGCCTGTTCTTCTCAATTGAACCTGTAGACTGAACTGGATTGTAGAAAAATATAATAGTTACCTATAAAAAACTCGAATGTCAGAAATGTTAAAAATTAAAAGAAAATCACTGAAGTGACGTACATGATTCATTCAGGATTTAATAATGAAATTAGACTTTTTAATATGTTATTTGATTTGGATGTTTAAATATCTATTTGTTATTTTATCAAAATAAAGATTAAATATATTTTAAAATGAGAATTCCTTAAATGACTAAAAACCTTTTAAATTTTATTTTATTTTGTTTTTGTTCTAATATTTATACTGAAGATGCTAAAAATATTATATTTTTATATTTTTAGGAAGGAATGGGCCCAGAAAGTATGGGTCAAGCCTACCAGGCATATGGAGGTCAAAGTCAGAACTTTACATACATTGATCGGATCCAACAACAGAAGAATGTGGAGGAAGCTGAAGATCTAGATGTTAATGCCAGCCTTCATGGCAACTGGACAATGGAGAATGCAAAGTCAAAACTTCATCAATTTATGCAAATAAATAAAATCAATGCTGACTATGTTTACAAGGCTGTAGGGCCTGATCATACACGGTTTGTGTTTATTTGTTAACTAATTTTAAAGAAAACATAGGAAAACTGCATAGATAAATGGTAAACAATTCAGGTTTTATATTATCACATTTGAGGACAAGAAGTTCTAGTGTGTACACTTTTCTGTACAAATAACAATAGACAACTGAATGTATGACTAAAACTATACATTGTTACTCATTTTTATGTAATTTTAACTGAATCTTAAAATTACTCGAAATTTAAAAAGAATTATAAAATAATTTTTGTAACCCAGTTTTGGTCAGACATGTACCATGTATTTAAATATTACTATGATAAAGCATTATGTCTATTACAAATGACATTGAAGAAGTAATTATCTCACTGTATATGGACATAGCCTAAAATGTGATAAACCATTAAATAAAATTTGGTAATTTTCTATTAACTTAATACAAGTAAATAATTGGAAACTAAAATTAAATTAAAATATGTTGGAAATAGTTTTGTTTCCCACTTGTCTATAACACAAATTTTGCGTATGTTTAACAGTAGACATTTGAGCATTTTATAATCTATAAATTGTTATTAATATAATTTATATTATGTTCCATACTTATTATTTCATTTTTCATTCTGAGAGTGAATGTAAGATGGAGATTTTGATGTGTTCATTTCATTTCTATTATGTTTCAAGTTTATTTAGCCCAATTATTTTAACTGTAATAATTTTATTTGTATTCATTTTATTATTGTACACTTACTTTTAAGCCACTGGTTATTCATAACTTTTGAAAAGCCAATGGCTAAAGATTATAAAAAATAATTTGGAAGTGAGGCCAAGTGAATGGCAACTTATTTTGATTTGCAATAAAAGGATGTTTATTTCCATGAAGCAATTTGGAAATAAAATCTTATATGAAATTGAAGCAAATAATGCAGGATCAGCAATATTTGCTTCTCAAAACTTCTCAAGTATACAGAATAAAACCCAAGACTGAAAATATTCTCATCCTAATAGATATACTCAACATTGAATAATATGTTGATATGCTCTTCATGTTAAAAAGAATAATAAATAAATAATTCAATTTTAATTGCATGAATTCATTGTTATATATACTTAATTATTATATTATTAGCAACTAAAAAAAACAACAGAGCATAATGGTACACATTTGGAATAGGCTTTTTGAAGAAACTGAACAAAATTAAATAAGATCACAATTGATAGTCTTGGGTTTTATTTTGGACACAGGTGATGCTTGAGCTCTTGAAGTTATATACTTGGCCATAGTTCCAGATTATTCCATGCTCACATACCCCTGTCATCACTACATGGTAAGTATATTTTTATTAACTATTCCATTCAAGTAATATCTAACTTATATTAACGTAAATATTAAATATATTATGTACTAAATAATGGCATCAGTGGTATGTTACATAATGTTCACAGTTCACACCATGCGAGGCATCTAGCCTCGCATGGTACCAGCCCTGGATCTTAATTTTTTTCAAGGCAAAACAAAAACTCAAATGTGCCCTCCCCGAATACCCCTGTCAACCCCAGCTAACAATTTACACCTGTCTTGTCCTAGGCGGTGGTTTTAAGCTACAAAGGCCAACACTATAGCTAACTGCCTTCCCATAGTTTTCAGAAAGTGTATGCACTCTACAAAAAATAATTTACTTGACAGCTCAGAGTTATGTTGTCAAAGGTGTGTTAATGATGAATTGTGTATTCATCTACCAAGTTCGAATTTGTCGCCGCCCTGGGTATGGGCTCCGTGTTGCCCCTCTCTAGATCCGGGGCTGCATGGTGCAAACATTTGTATTCATGGGTTTGGATGGTTCTATCTGGGTGTTCTCTGTATATTCTGTATGTATTTACAAAAAAATGTATCTATATGTATTTATATCAGTTATTTATTACCCATAATTCAAGCTTTTTCAAACGTCATACATTATTCACTCTTTAACATTCTTTTTATTATATGAAATGATACTATTATCTGATGTTCAAAAAACTTACAATGAGAATAAATGCATAATTCACATATATTTGTAATAATATTTAAATTACTTTATATAAATATATCAAAGTAAATCCATATTTAAATAATATTGTATTTATATAAACTTATATCGAATATATTTAACACTGGCTGTTTTCCAAAATGGTATCTGCTTTTATGAATTAAAAGGGCATATATCTTTATTATTCTTATAAATTCCTTAGTATTTATTATCTTTATTTAATTTGTGATGGTATGGAATTCTTCTTATTCAAGTCATCTCACACTCGAAATTTCATTGCTGAAGCGCTAATAATTTACTATTAGTAAATAACATTATACCTACTAATGAGGCTTGGCAGACACCGTAATATCTAATTGTAAACGTAATTCATATAGAGACGGTAGCCGCATGTAACTTTACACACACACACACTTTCACATTAACAATCAACAATGCATTTGACTATATCTTTTGTTATTGTAAATGTGACTATATGTGTATGACATATATTTTTAAATTCTTCAGGAGTTTCGCTTGCGAATTGTCGATATTTGTGCGTCAACTGGGGAGAAATTTGACGGGTCGTGAGACAGCTTCTAACAAGCAGACGGCCAGCAAATCTTGTGCTTTGTCGCTCGTACGTCAACTGTACCACCTGGGTGTGATCGAAGCATTCAGCGGTACCCTCAAGAAAGATAGGTACTTAAATTTCATTTGTTTTTTTATTTAATTTTGACGGCCTCTGTGGTCTAGCGGTAAGGTACACCACTTTACTTTCGATATTCGCGGGTTCGATACCTCGCACGGTCCAAACATTTGTATTCAGGAGTATGATTGTATCGGTCTGGGTGTTTTCTATGTATTTTACGTATGAATTTACAAAGAAATATCTAAGTATTTATATTAGTTGTCTAGTACCGTAGTAGTTATTTATTTCATGAATGATAGTGGAATGTTGCGTGCATCTGCCTGCGGTAACGGTGTACGTTGGTAGGATACCAGTGGAAGGTGAGAGGATGAGCACAATAAACGGCACAAATGGGTTCATTATGGGCTATCTTCTTGTCATGACGGCGCGAAGGTCAACATTATGAGGTACATGATAGCAATGGGCCAGTAATTGTCATTATTATGTTTATGTAAACGACTGTCGTCTCCATATTTACACATCAATAAAACCTATAGACTGTAAATATAATTTATTAAAGACATACTGAGAATTTTTCCTGTATGTCTTCAATAATTATACAATGTAGAAAGTTAAGTGAATGTATTAATTATTTTTCTGTTTTTAGATCATCGGAAGGGATTATGAAACCGTATCCGGTGGCAATAAGTCCAGAACTTGAGCGACAGCTGGAAGAGGCATTGAAGGGTTGGTCATAATTTTTTTTATTCATAAAATGTAGAAAAAAAATCTTTTTATGCTACTTAAATAATTATGAAGTATAATTTTGTATGACGTTAGCTTGTGACTCATAAAAAGTAAATATACAATTCAATAGAAAAGAAAAAAAAACAATGTTTTATGCCCACAAACGATCCGCCATTTTTAAGGAACTTGTACGTTGCAGATGCTAGACGTGGAATACGTTTTTCAATTATCGCCTTACTGAATGCATATACAATATATATTATAAGAACTTTCAATTATATTCTCGAGATCTATTAAAGTAAATAATAATTAAATTTACAAAACAACTAAAAATAATATTTTCGTTTATATAGAGATTGATATCGAGCCTGTAGACGTAGAAACCGCACAACCGGAAACCACTGAGGGTGAAGAAAGTCACGGGGTGACGCTACTACAGTTGGACCGCGTGAAGGCGATGCGAGAGGCACGACCGGCGCCCTCTGGAGTAGTGTCGTGGTCACCGCCGCAACCCAACTGGAACGCGTGGACCGGTTGTAATATAGGTGAGTAAAACAATGATTGGGGGAATAGACTAGTCATAAACTCGTCCTAGAGTGCCTGTGCTATTCTATGAGTCATAAAGTAGTCATATTAAGGGGGTCTTCCTATGTGATGGGTTGAAAAAATCGATTTTTTTTTTTTTCATAAATTGCTCCCTTAACATGTCTAGAATACGGTAGTAAAGCGATTTTAGAAAATTCGAAGTCGTTTTAAAGATACAGCAGGTAAAAGAAAGAGCGGTTCGGAGCGGTGAGTTGGCAGTTAGAGACCGGGCCTATTGTGTACCGTCGGCTTTATACCTGGCCTCCCTTTTATTAATATATTTGTTTATACAAGTTTAGACACGTTTCTACAGACTTAAACAGAAATTTCTATTGTTATAATATTTTACCGAAGTTATTTTAGTCTTGGTTGAACTTCGAAGAGAGCAACAGCTACAAATTATTTTTTTTCATAATGAGTGGACGGAAAGGAAGTACGAGTGGAAATGTTCATCCTGGTCGTAGTAAAAAAAGAAAGTTTAGTGGAAAGGTGGCGTAAGGCTGAAGCTAATAATGAACTGGACCAATTTCATCACGATAAACCACCTCTAATTCCGCAAGTCCAAGAAGCTAACAAACCGGTTTTCGAAGATTTATCGAAAGACGAATTATTAATTCGTTGTTTAGGAGCAGAGACACAAAACAATAACGAATCTTTGAATTCTTTGATTTGGACTTTCGCTCCTAAACATCTTCATTCTGGTCCCAAAGTTGTTGAAATTGCTAGCTACTTAGCAGTTAGTATCTTTAATGAAGGTTTTCAAGGTATTTTAAAAGTTATGTCGATTATGGCCCTGTTGGTCGTGAAGCCCAAGCGTATGTTGAGAAACGGGATGAAAAGCGAATCTTACGCTCTGAGCGGCGCGTAAGTGATGTCGTTAAACAAGCCAGGATTGACTCAAGAGCTGAACAATCTGCTTTAAAAGAGTTTCACGAGGAAGAGGAAGGAATACTCTATGGACCAGGCATCGCCGATTGAGAGTAAGTTGATATTTTAATAGTTTTTAACGGACTTGAAACTTTAAACGCGTTTTTCTCAAAACTGTGTTTTTCAAACTTTCCTCCATTGTATCTCAGAAACGGCTGGACCGAATTACTTGAAATTTACAGGGCACACTCAATATATGTAAACGCATGGAATGAACTATTATCAATCGAATCGCCGAAAACTTCGATTTTTTTATAGCAAAAAACAAAAAAAAAACGCCTAATTTGCAACTTTTATTTCAAATGTCTATCAAAAATCCAATTTTTTTATATTCATTTGATTATAGGTCATTCCGTGCTTTTAAGCCTACAAATTAAAACGCCGTTTTTTTTTTTTTCAGATAAGCCGATCAGCCGGAATCGTGGAGGAAGTGGGAGCTCTTTTTTTCGAGGCGGGGGTGTTCAGAGCGCTGTAACTCTAGTTTGACTGAATATTTTTAGCTGAAATTTTATATTTATACTGTCCAAATATGTGTTAATAAATGATAAAAAACTTGAAGCTCTAAATATTTACTGGTCGTAGAAAAAAAATCCTAAAATATCCCTAAAAAACAGGCCGTCACATAGGAAGACCCCCTTAATATGACCATTCTCACATACAATATACACCCATGTGGAGCAGAGGTTAGACACTAGTTTGTATATTTCGTTTGGAATTTAGAAGATGGTTGCGGTATACACCAATATATAATAAGAGAATGTTTTGTATTGAACAATTTGTATTTTAGATGAGGGACCTCTTTCAACCACTACCTTGGAAGAAATCAGTTCTGATTTGGAGAAAAATCATAGAGATTTGCATCAAAACAGTGAACTTTTTCAGGTAAATACATTTTATTTTAATGTAAATACAGTCCTCCACTTCCCACCAGCATATACCGTTAGCGCAGCGGGTGCGAACTGCCACTATTATCCATTTAAAAAAATGTATACCTGAATTACTACGAACTATATTAATTCCCCAATATAAAAATAATATTATCTTTAATTTCTAGGAGAGTATACGTGAACGGGAACAGCTGCCTGTTTATGCAATGCGATCGGAAATTATGGCTGCAATCAATGACAACTCTGTTGTTATCATTAGTGGCAATACAGGATGTGGAAAGACCACACAGGTCAGTATTAATCTGGTACTCCATTAAGATGAAAATCTTAGTCATTTAGAAATTTGAGCCAAATTTCAAATTAGCCAAACTTTTGGTGTAGTAATTTACCACGCTGGCTACTCGCTTTCTGTGTTTGTGGGTTCCAATGTTTATGGAATTGAGAAAGCAACATAATAAACATGGAGTATGTGATCCATGGAAAATAAAGAGACAGACACAGAATAATGTTGATGATTATAAACTGGCACAGACTAACTACGGAAGGTCATGATTCTGTTTTGTATCTGTAATGATTACTTGGATAATTATTAAATGTGTTCCCTAGGTGTGTCAGTTCATCCTGGATGATTATATCGCGAGTGGTCAGGGCGCGTGGGCAAATGTATGCGTGACGCAGCCGCGTCGTATCTCAGCCGTCAGCGTGTCGGAGCGTGTCGCCAACGAGCGCTGCGAGGATTTGGGGAACTCAGTCGGGTATGTATACATGAAGTAACATATATAATCTCCTAGACAACTTGGTGTACGTCTTCTAAAACGTATGCGTGACACAGCTGCGTCGTATATCCGCCGTCAGCGATTCGAAGCGTATCGCCTACAAGCAACTTGGACAATCTCTTAAACAACTTAGTGTGCCTATGTCTTGTAACACGTGATTGTGGAGTATATAGTCGTATTTTTAATTAGACGAAGTCAACTGACGTTTACTGTGATGTCAGTATTTGATAAAATAAAAATAGTGTTGTGACAAAGTGAATAATTGAATAAAATCCTGAATTAATGGAATTGCCACAATTGTCCAGTCTAGTGAATAGTTAGTGTGACGAACTGCCTATATCGGGTACGGGGTTCGAATTTTAGCTGTGCTTTATACATACCAACAAGTTTTCGACAACTATGTTCCTCTAGTATCTACCTATACTGAATACAGAGTATTTGAAACATGAAGAAAAAAATTGCGAGGAAACTGTAAAGACTGTCCTATTTACAATACATCATGTAGTTAAAACTATAGATGTATAAAATATCTAACATAATATAGTTAGGTAATAAAAATAAAAAACTTGGCTTATTACAAAATTTGTTTTTATTCATCATCAGATAAAAAAATCATTGTTGCTTTCGGTGACATTAATTATAAATCTGTCTGAAAAATTGACAATAATTTATCTTTGAAACAGTGTTTTGGTCCACGTTTCTCCAGATACTTAAATTGTTCATTTTCTTTGTATTCTTTTAATACAATGTAGACTGAGGTCACACCAATTCCCAAAAAGTTAGCTGTTTTTGAAATACATTATTTTTTTTCGGGAGCCTCAATAGGTAATAGTGATGCAACTTTCTCCTCAAATACGTGTTTGTAGACGTTTTGTATCATAAGTTTTTCGGTAACGCTTAAAGCAATCCGTGGTCTCTTCTTTCTTGGAGACAAACTTTGGTTTGACATGCATGGTTAAGGATCCATTTCCATCCATCCATGAGGAGGATACATTGGTACGAAACAATATAGCAAATATACAATATACACTATTACAACAAACACAACAGAAGGAAAAATTTATCAAAAACAATAACAAAACAGTGTGAGCGCAAAAAAAAGCATTCGTGCTCTCAGACCAGAGGTTAGAAGCCGAATTACGAACAAAATGACGACCGACGCTCGCGACGTTGATCGGTGTTGGCACTAGTGGCTACTAGTGCCACAGCGCGCTTTGTAATAAGCCGTCAAATAACTGATTGTAGTTACATAACACTAGTAACTTATATCAGAGCACTTTCATACAACTTTATTGTAAAATAGAAATAATATTATTTTGTAGTTTGAAATGATTAACTATTCACACTCATTGTTCATTCATCTGACCGAGAACTGAACGCATCACTATTACTTTAAATATGGCAACATTATTTCATAACGTGACATTAGCTACTGTCAGTTAGCTTCGTCTAATTAAAAATACGACTATAGTATTGTAAAATTTTTGAGATTCACTTCTATGTTAGGTAACACCAATAAATGATAGCAAATGAAGTATACATAATTTATTTTGTTTCATAGTGCATAGTGTATTATGATGTATGGAATGGTGTGTAAATCTAAAATGACCTCATTTTTTTAGCTTGTTCGACAAGGTCACGGATGTTTGTCATCTTGGCTGCCAATTGTAATTGGTAACCGTCGCCTAAATACATAACAGCACTGCATCAAGTTATCATACGATACCCGTGATACCATTCATGCCAGCCTCATAAATGCCAGCCATTTGAGAGGACAAAGGTGTCATGCCTCTTTTCCTGTATTATATTTAATTCACTCTAGTCTGTATTTGCAGTTACTCGGTGCGTTTTGAGTCGATACTGCCGCGGCCGTACGGCTCCATCATGTTCTGCACGGTGGGCGTACTGCTGAGGAAGTTGGAAGGCGGCCTCCGCGGTGTCAGCCATGTACTCGTTGATGAGGTAACGTAACAATTTCATGTTGTATTAAAAGTAGTGATCGGTGATAACTTTATTACCCTACTATGAGTTAATAGATGGTTACGTAAGATTTTTCATATTACCCACAAAACAATTTAAATTAAAAATCAAATATATTGAAAAACATCCTTTGTATAATATTACAGAATATATGAACCTAAATGTAATTACATATATCTTAATTTTCATTGTTAAACATATTATATTATTATGACTTAATGTAATTAGTTATAACGTGTATTGTGTACGTATATAATTTATTTTATTTTATTTATTAATATAATAATTGTAACTAAATGTATAAATATCATGTATGTATATTATGACTTACCATATAATATATGTAAAGAAGTTTTTTACATTGGTCTAAGGTAGACCAATGTAAAAAACTTCTTTACTTAGGTAGATGTGTAATAAATTATGCATCTCAGGTACACGAACGCGATGCTGATACGGATTTCGCGCTGATCCTCCTGCGTGATATGGCGCACACGTATCCTGATCTTCGCATAATCCTCATGTCTGCCACTGTCGACACCACACTCTTCACTAATTACTTCGGGAACTGTCCCGTTATAGAGGTAAGTTATAAATCTGTACTAATATTATAAAGCTGAATAGTTTGGTAAAACACTCTAATCTCATGAACTATAATGGTTATATTTTAGTTGTATGCTGATTTGTTATTCTCATTTGTTGATGTTTAGTGTGGAAATCGCGGACAAAGTTGCGACATTACGCTAGTAGTAGATTAAGATTTAATTAACTAATGTTGTAAATGTATGTACAGTTCAATTAAATAAGAGATAACTTGGCTGGATAAGCGATTCCTAATAAGGCGCGTAAATAAAAATAATACTATTTTAATAAGTAGGAATTTTGACTAACAGACGTAATTATTTTTGTAAGATGAGAAATACTTTATCTATCGTAATTTATAATTTGATCTGTATGAATAATTACAGGTAATGGAATTAATGTATGCGTTCCTTTTGTTGTGTCTATGTTAAAATGTTACAAAATTGATATAGAAATTTTTAATATGAACTTATGTTTAAGTATATATGTATGTAGAAATATAATATTAAATAATCTTAGTAGAATGAGATCTCCTATCACAAATATTTAAGTATACTTATGAATTAATATGAAGAGCATACATAATTTTTTATGAACTTTATTTCTCACATTTTGTTATTTTTTTCATTTCATTTTTGACATTTGCAATATAGATACCTGGTCGCACATATCCTGTTCTTCAATACTTCTTGGAGGATTGCATTCAACTGACTAGCTTCAAGCCGCCGCCCGACACTCGCAAGCGTAAGGCGTCCGGCAAGAAGGCCAACAACAAAGATGACGACGACGATGATGACGAAGGTAACATTTTAACATTCGGTGACAGTAATCATGACACTGGACTAGTTACTAACGAGTGAAGTCGAAATCTGATTATTTTTTAACCTGTGACCTTTGTATATATTTATTCATAGTAAAATAATCATCATTATTATTGACTACACTTAAAAAAATGAGAGCTATTACGGCTAATTTTTTATATTTATTCATTCATATATTCATTTATTACAGTGTATCCTAAGAAGAATCATCATCAAACAACGATATTTGTCAAATTGAATTTTTTTATTAATTTATTTACATATAAAATTATTTTTTTCTAATGTAAACATTTGAAACCAACAAGTTACTCACTTATACTTTTAGCAGGTAGCCGAATGTAGATGGTAATTTTACCACTTGACCATTATATAATATCAAAGCCTATATACGTTTATACACAGGTTTTGGCGCGGACGAACAAGACGAAGACTTGAACAAAAACTGTCAACTTGGTCCCGATTATAGCGCAGATACTGTTTGCGCGATGGCACAATTATCTGAAAAGGATGTAAGTTTTGTCTCACATTTACATTCATAATAAATTTAATATAATTGCAAATTTTAATGTCTGTTTTTGTCTTAATATTTGAAATGAGCCTTCATATCAAAACATGCTCACCCTTTTTTGTAATTAAGTAAATTTAACAATATAGACAGTAAATAAACTCTTTCTGTGTGTGGTTTCTGTCGAAACCAACTTTATTAATTATAAAAAGCTGTACCAAAATCTGTGGCACGGATATAGCATGGATTATTTAAAACAATGAACTAGTATTAACAATTAAAAAAAAAGTGCTGTAAATCATGTAACAAAGACATCACTTCACATGTTAATACAATTATAATTGTTTGTTGTATTATAATATATATTAAATTAGATATGCATATAACAAAGAAACATATGTTCTAACAATTTAATAAAATTTTATACGATTCCTCTCGACAGCTAAGCTTTGAGTTAATTGAAGCTATACTCCTGCATATCAATTCATTGGATAAGGACGGCGCGGTGCTTGTGTTCCTGCCAGGCTGGAACTTAATCTTCGCACTCATGAAGCACCTCAACCAACACAAAATCTTCGGAGACCCATCTAAATATATTATCCTACCATTACATAGTCAGATTCCAAGAGATGATCAGAAAAAAGTATTCGTCACACCCCCACCGGGGCTTACTAAGGTTAGTATTGCTTATAAGTTTAGTATTTTCTATTATAAACGTATTGACAAAATAGACTCTGACGGCGCACCTGATATTTTATTATTATAAATTTTTGAAATGGTAACTCTCATCTATCTTCTAATATATAAAATTCTCGTGTCACAGATTTCGTGTTTATACTCCTCCGAAACGGCTTGACCGATTTTGATGAAATTGTATATGTATATTTAGTCTGAGAATAGGCCTAATTTTAGATTTTTTTTTCATTTTTCACTTTTTTTTATTACTATGTGGCATTAAAAACTACATACAGCTCTTAATTTTCGCCGTTCTAACACCAACCCGGTGGTAGAAGGGCGAAAATTTATATGGCAAAACGTTTGCTGGGTCAGCTAGTATATATGAACTGCACCATATCACCGGGTGTCACGTGACAACCTGAAGTGTGATGACGTATACCTCATGCATTGCCATTCCGGCGGGCTCTGTGATTTTACTTCCATATGATGAGATATGGAAGTGAAATAAACCGTTTACAGAACAAGCTGAACTAAACTATACAGTTTACAAAACAACCGCTGCTTGGCGGCTGAAGTAGGTGAGCCGAATATTCTTTGTACCAAGTGTACTGTGGTAAACTCATAATATTAAAGATTGAATAAATCTATGTATTCATATGTAAAAAAAAATTACGGATGTAAAATAATTGAACGACTTTAGTATTACATACATACCAAATACTGAGGATTTTGCCTCAGTATTTTGATATATTAACCTGTAACTTTACACTTATATTTACTATGATCCAGGTTATTCTATCTACGAACATAGCGGAGACCTCTATAACAATCAATGACGTTGTGTACGTGATTGACTCGTGCAAGGCGAAAATGAAATTGTTCACGTCACATAACAACATGACATCGTATGCCACAGTGTGGGCGAGCAGGACAAACCTCGAACAGGTATGATGTACTAGTGTTTATTTATCCGACTTGACTGGTTTTTTTAGATAAAAAATAGCATGATATATCGTCTTCATGATATACATAATCTTTCTTCAAACCATTAAGATAACGTTTAGCCATATAAACGTAAAAAATTACAAAATAAACGATAGTCATACACACTTATGATGATATGCATGATTAATATTAGTCTGAATATTTATTCACAGCTTTTAGAACTGTGACTGAAAATTACTATCCTTGTCGTAGAATGAATTGTATGAATTGTCGTAGAAGTTTAAATTTATATTGCCAGTTATATATATGAATACAAACTTAGTTTGCTAGTGATAAAAACGGTAACAATGATAAACCATAAAAATGTCCATACCTCATAAACCTTATACAAGTATTAAACAATGTTATATACATTAAGCATGCAGACGGCTATCATAATATATATATATATTTCAATTAATGTGATAGACATGCAGACAGACGGCTATGATAAAAAATATGCCGAAAATTTTTGCAATGAAAGTATAGTCTTTAATGTGGTTAGTATGTAACATAAAAATGGAAGGATGGAAAAAGAGAGTAAAACTGTTAGAAAGATAAATGGATTTTGTGAAAGATGATATGCATAAAAGGAGGGTAAGCTCAGAAAGGCACGTCAATGATGACGATAATTATTGCAGCGTAAAGGTCGGGCGGGTCGCGTCCGCCCCGGCGTATGCTTCACGTTATGTGCGCACGCACGCTACGAACGCCTCGAAGAACATCAAACCGCTGAGATGTTCAGGACACCGCTGCATGAACTTGCACTCAGGTATGTAGAGTGTATAAATAATCTTTGTAATAATATACATTCTGAAAAGAGTTAGAGTTGAGATCCTTGTCAGTTCTTCTTGTCTCGAAACTACATTCCGAATAATAATAGATTGGAGATATCATAAGTGTTTGTAATTGACCTATATAAATACTGATATATTGATTTGATTAATTAATAAATTATCACTTTAATATTTATTTTAAAGTCACAATTTAATGGTATCATTAAATTGTGCCCCCAAAAGCTTGCTTTGCAGTCTGCATTTTCCTTTGAACAATCATATATGGCAGTGAAATTATTGATTATAAAGGCATCTTAGTCTTCAGCATTAACATTAATTTTACAGTATCAAGCTACTCCGCCTGGGCAGTATCGGCCATTTCCTATCTAAGGCGCCGGAGCCGCCGCCACTAGACGCGGTGATCGAGGCTGAGGCGCTGCTGCGGGAGCTCGGCTGTCTCGACGCAGCAGCCGGCGATGCTCTCACCCCACTGGGTGCTATCCTCGCCAAACTACCCATAGGTATGCACATGATAATAAATCTTGTATTATTGATTGTCTGTAGATCTGCAGAACACAGAGTAAGCTTGTTGTCATATCTTGTGTTATGTTACCATACTCTTCTGAAACGGTTTGACTTATTTATATGAAATTTTATATGCATATTCAGTAGGTCTGAGAATCGGCTACAATCTATTTTTCATATCCCTATGTGATAAGGGTTGTCAACCCCAAACATTTTATTTGAAAAATATTTTTTTTAAATAAAATACAACACTAAATTTTCACCCTTCTACCATCAACCCCTATTTTTTAATAACGATGTTAATTTATATGACAAGACAACGTTTTCGGGGACAGCTAGTTTTATATATAAATAAATATATATGTATAATGTTGTGTCAATGTGTATATTTATAGTTATTATATATTATTACGTATTGGAGGATGTTAGGGCAACTATGAGGTTAGGTTAGTGTGCCCATTGTGATTAAATAAATAGGAATTAACCACGATGGTTGGTGATGAACTGAACTACGAAGGCTGAACCGCGTGGAGGTCGATATTACGTGGTACATTGTTAGTAAGGTGGTCACTAGCCCTATTACTCTTAACCCCCGACCCCCTGTATTATATATTTATAAGGACAGACTTCTTTGTTTGATGTATTTAGAGCCCCGTCTCGGGAAGATGATGGTGCTAGGCTTCGTGCTGGGTGTGGGCGACGCTCTGACCACTATGGCTGCTAACTCCACCACGTTTCCCGAAATATTCGCTCTGGAAGGCCGTAGAAGACTCTCCATGCACCAACGTGCGCTAGCCGGCGACCGTGCCTCCGATCACGTGGCTATGCTTAACGCGTTCCAGGTAATATATAATTATATTTATTAAGTATAAGAATACAAACCCACACATCGCTTCCTCTATCATGCTGTTTTAGGTTGACTGGAAGAGATCTCTTTTAGAGAGAAATCTCTTTGCTTACAAAATTACTAATGTATATGAAGACTTGTATTTATTAGGGCAATAAAGAAATTAGTGCATCCAGAGACAAACATAAATATTTGTGAAAAATGTTCAGAAAATCTCTAGATTTTTTATTAATTTACTTGCAATAACTAATTATTTTTATATATCGACCGGACTCAAAATCTAATCACTCCTCTCCATCCTAAGGTTGCCTGGAAAATACCGCTGTTTAGTAATAAAGTTTTTGTTACCTCTCTATTGTAATTATGTTTTTTTTTATATTTGACATACATATTATTATTATATAATTAGTTATTTCCTCCTGTGAGAAGAATAATAAAGAGATTATCTTCTCATTTCGTTTCAACTTTTTGCATGACACACTCAAATGTCCAAAATGCGTATTTTAATGACTAATAAATATCTATCACTAATTCACACTATAATAATATGTCTACAGGGGTTTAGTAGTTAAATAAAGCCAGAATCCCTGACCTACTAGAAAGTCTAATAAACATAGGATTGTTTTAGATGTGGGAAAGAGAGCACGCAAAAGGAGAAGACAAAGAAATACAATGGTGCGAGTGGAAAGGAGTACAGCAAACTACATTGCGCGTGACATACGAAGCCAAATATCAATTAAAGAGTAAGTAAAATTCCGTCTATACCTTAGTATGCCGGTGATACTCGACAGTTCTATTATAGGACATGTATCTAAGGCTATACTAATAGACTCCTACCATAGTTGGTAGGAGTCCAACTATTGCTTTGACAACCATGCAGGCAGTGACAGAAACATATGAAACATATGTGAGTTGATGTTAAAGGGGCCCCAAACATGTACGTCAACACTCATCTTCATTGCTCGTGTTTCTTTCCTGCACTTAAACAAACCCATGCTGCAAGTCCCAGGAACTGCTTAGAGTTTCCATCTCTACCACATGATGGACCCGATTCTCGTACTGTCAATCCATAAAATCATAATAATTTTGTCTCACACTGTAAGTGATCGAGCATCTAGATAAATGACGCATTCCAAATTCATTATTTTCCAGATATTCTGACATCATCTGTAGGCTTTCCGGAGGAGTGCTGCATACCACAGCGTTGGAATCCACATGGTTCCGATTACATACTGGATGTCGTGATTGCTCTCATGGCCATGGGGCTATACCCGAATGTCTGCTTATATCAAGGCAAACGAAAGGTATGAATATATATGCGTAATATTAGATCATCTTTTTAAATCATCTCATTCACTCACACATAATGATTTTATCTGTCATATCTATATCATAGCGTCTAATATGGCTTCGCCATAACTAACTTGTATTGTGGCGTCAAATTACACTGTGTTAGGGTAAAAAATAAATCTAAAGACAAACTTGTTTCGCGTACTTTCCGCGTCTAGGTGGTAAATACGCGTACCTGTTTCACGCAGCTGATGAATACATTTCGAATAAATTGCGTAACTATATGTGCTCAAAGTGACATATACGAACGACTCGACTTCTAAGTGCTACCGCCCAGATTTGTGAATAATAGTAACATTTGAAGTAGTAATAAATTGCATGTATGTTCAGTAAATGTAGGATTTATTTCAACCAATATGATCATGTAGTATTTATCTCGAAGTTATTTATTGTTATAGGTATTGACAACAGAAGGCAAGCCTGCACTAATACATAAAACATCGGTGAACTGCAGCAATCAAGAACAAAAATTTCCCTCCCCATTGTTTGTGTTCGGCGAGAAGGTGCGCACTAGAGCGATCAGTTGCAAGCAAACCACCATGGTCGCACCGCTGCATCTCCTATTATTTGCGAGCAGGAAGGTTGAATGGGTGAGTATTACTTTTTATATAAGGCAAAATGACGGCCTTGATGGTCTAGCGAGCACTTCTTTACTTACGATGGTCACAGGTTCATTTCCTCGAACTATGCAAACATTTATCATATGTATTATGAATGTGATTGTTTGTACTAAGTACCTATGCATGCTGCATTGCATGTATTTACAAAAATATATATTTAAGCATATCTGTCAATATACCCATAAAACAAGCTCTGCGTAGCTTGGGAGAATATGGCGTTGTGTAAATTCTTCAGGATTATTATTATTATTGTGCATATCCGTAATCTGTTTATTAAGGCATAATTTTGAACAAATAAGTATGCTCAGTAAGTAATTCATATAATGGGTAAATATAAAATATTGTCTATGAGAGTGAAGAGTCCATTTCTACATGAGAAAGTGCCAAACGCTCTTGACGTTATTACTGTAGTGTGACCTAGTATTTTTCGGGCCATCTGATATTATACATCCCTAAACCTTGTCTGAATCTACTAAATTTTGGGCATAAATTACATCTTGCTGTAAACAATGTAATGAAAATATGTACTGGTATTTATTATCAAGATTTTTAAAGCTGTTTTTTTTGCATTCACCTTTTCAGGTAGACAATGTAGTCAGATTGGACAACTGGCTGAATTTCGACATGTCCCCGAAATCAGCGGCCTTGGTTGTAGCACTGCGGCCTGCCATCGAGAAGCTAGTAGAACGTGCTGCTGCTGAACCCGATGCTGCACTACAATTCTCGCCAGCTGAGCAAAAGGTAAGCTTCTTATTTATAGTGTTTTAGCATCCCGCCCTTGCATATCACGGGAGTGCAATCTGTATATATCTGCAAAAACTTTTCAGAAAAAATTCTCCAAGTGACAGTGAAATCTGTATGAAAATTCATTGCGTACTTTGCGAGTACGCCAAAAAATAGGCGCATGAAAACAGAGGATTTATTTTATACTATTCATCATCATCATCTGCTTCTTCCTTATCTTATTTATTTGGGGGCGTAATATGTTTTCTGTTCCATTCATCCCTGTTCGCAGTCATCTCATTCTACATTCCAACTACCACACCTCATACATACTTCTCTTATTTTTTGCACTTATGTTGCACCTGCTTGTTGTGGTGCAACAACCTTTTCCATTTCTCACAGTGGATACTATTATTGGTCATAAAATTGATTGTCCTGTATGACCTTTAACCCACAGTCAGGACTACTATTAATAAAGGAAATAGAATCCATTCAAGTGCAAAAACTAATATATAGTGATTACAAAACAAAGTAATTTGTTACTGCTATGTATCCATATCATTGAACTATTTATTAAATCTTTTTTTAATTTTCGATGTGGCCGTAATATGTTGCCGTCCCTTTAAATATTTTGTCTGTGTTTAATCTGTCTTTATATGTACAGAATAAAAAATATTTAATTAACTAATTATGCACATTTATATGATTTAGATAAAATGTTATTTTATAGGTCCATAATATAAAACCATATTTTTTTACTCATCTTATAATATTGTTTTCAGATTGTTAACTGTCTCAAAGCTCTTTGCCTAGTAGATGCAGGTGACTATAACATTCAACGTGAAATATCGATGCCTACGTTTAGACCAGACGGCCCTAAACGGGGCTTCAACAGGGGATGGGGAACAAACGGCCCCCGTGGTGGATTCGGTGGCGGCAGCTATGGTAGCCAAGGAAATGGCAGGAACTGGGGAGGATATGGCGGAAACCAGGGAGGATATGGCGGAAACCAGGGTGGATATGGCGGAAACCGTGGAGGATATGGCGGAAACCAAGGAGGATATGGTGGAAACCAAGGAGGATTTGGAGGCAATCAGGGCGGTTTTGGCGGAAATCAAGGCGGTTTTGGTGGAAATCAAGGATTTGGCGGAAATCGGGGAGGTTATGGCGGTAACAGAGGTAGGGGTAGTAATGGCGGTGGGTTTAGAGGAAGAGGAAATCGCGGCAGCTGGAGTGGAAACTCGTGGTGAAAATCTCAATCATTCCTTTTCGTAGACAAATTTAAATTGTACTGTTTTAATTAATCTCTAACTATATAAATTAATAATAAATGTATTCAATAACATTGCATATTTTATTCTAATACTGAAATTTGAGATGTTAAAATTTAGTAAATCAATTATTTACAAAAATTTATATTTTTAAAAAAGAAACCAGTCTTCCATCACTCAACAGGATTTTGCACGACTATCAATATGAATTCTTTATCTGGAGCAACCATTACTTCACTTTTCTTGCTTCTAATTCTTAGAAATGTCAAGTCATTTGAAGGGTCCAAGTCTCGGACGACAGCTTTTGCTTTGTCAACTAACGCTGTCATAAGTCCAGCATATTGTACGGAAACGTGGTTGTCCAATGTAGTTTTAATGGGTATGCCTTCGCCATTTACTACAATAACGCCCGCTACGCCCTTATGAGTAGAAAGCTTGCGTACAGTCTCCTCCGCTTCGTTCGCCATTGTTTTCTTTATAAACGTCAATAACGTTCAAAGTTCGAATGTGCTTTAATTTTTTTTTAAATACTTTCCACTCCATCTACGACAATTTCAATTAATAAAAAAAGTTGTTAAACCTGCAATGAAAATTAAACACCTTGCTACCCCTGGTCCTTGCCTACCCCCATCTGATCCGTTTATTTAGAGAAATGAAAGAAATTATGTTGTATAGTTTCATACTGCTGCTATCTAATATTTTAACTAGGAGGATAAGAATAGCAACGCGTAAGTGTTATTAATTATAATAATAACTAATAACACTTACTTATATTATTAATAGGCGACGATTATCTCTTTTGCTGTCAAAAATATTAGGTGAGAATAAAACAGTAGGGTTAAAAGGCGTAGGTTACTGGAATGTGATGATTAATCAGAAAGAACCATCTGAAGAGTCGATGATTCTACTCGTTACTACCTGTGACAGAACATCATACACATCCGCTCATATTCGTCTAGAGATTGCAAGATGGTCACGGAAAAAGTTTGGTGTGAGTATGAGTATTTTGATTGCAAAACCTTTTTACTATAATGAAGCTTTTACAATCAAATATTTGCATGACACAGAGGTTTATACATAATTTACAACAATCAGATTTGTGTCAGCTGCCTACTTGTAATATTTTATTTGCATGTTCCATTGTTAGTAGTTACTATATATATGATGAAGAAATCTATTTTTGAAAATTAATCTGTGAAATCGTATTTAATATTGAAATTAATTACACCATAGTATTATAGATAAGAAACTTATAAGGCTTTATAAAATTATATTTATTAAAATCAATATAGTACAAAATCCTACTTTATAAATAATAATTGCTATTGCACATTAATAATGAGTATTTTTCTTATAGAATTGCAATCACTGTGAACCTCTGACACAGAGTTAACAATAAAATTATATATATTAGACATGTTTTTAAACCTATCGGTCTCAGTCTTTTTAGATGTTACCCAGATATCTCAAAAGAAATATCTTTGAAATCATTGAGATAGTTTTAATACCATTCAGGTCTTTGTTAAAAGTTTTATAAAGAAATTGCATATCAAAATACATAATTCAATAGTATGGAAATTATATTATGTTAATTGATTGACTTATTCTGAAAATGCTATATAGTAATTATGATAGCCCAATCCATTATTTTTTTATTGAAATTGTTGCTGGGCTTTTACATAATATCAGAATGGGATGTATTACTAACATAGACTTAAGTTCTCATTGTTAGTAAAAAATATAGACGTAATATAAATAAAAATTATTATTATTAATTACTCTACAATTAGTCAATTCGGTCCTATATTTTAACTTTCAGTCAATATTTCTCCACATTTTTGCTTACTTTCAACTTGTAAATAAAGAGGCATCCTGCCACTTCTCAGTTTTTCTCTCTTATGTACTTTTAGTTGATGTTTCATCATTTGCTTTCTATATCCAAAGGCTTTACCACATATGTTGCACACATGGTCCTTGATACCAGTGTGATCTACTTTAAAATGCAAATCCAAATTCCGCTTTGTGTAAAATCCTCGGCCACACAAATTACATTTAAAATCATGTTCACCTTTATGTATTAACATATGTTTGTTAAGATTACTTTTGTTCACAAATCTTGAGGGACATTGTGTACATTGATATGGCTTTTCACCTGTGTGAGATCTCATATGCATTTTAAGTGATTCACTAAATCGTCCCTTGTAGGGACATAAAGCACATTTAAATGGCAAACTGTAGAAATGTGTTAACCTATGTCTCGTAAATTGTCCTTGCACAATGAAAATTTTTCCACATATATCACACATATAAGTTGTCTCTAGTTTGTGCAATGCCAAGTGCTTCTTGTAGTACAATGTTGTATATGTATTTTTACAAATAGGACATGTATGTCTCATGTTTTCATGTTCTTGTGATAGTCTATGCTCACTGTATTCATTAAAGTTTTCAAAATCCAAATCACATCTTTTGCAGTGATAGCTTTTAGATTTATTACATTTATCTTCTTCATCTTCATATGTATTGTCTTCCCCCAAATCATTAGACATCTCATCAATGTCTGTTAGCATTGATTCCTGTGCAGGTCGCTTTAGCAAATTGTCAGACTGCTGAGCAGTTTTTCTGAATAATATTGCACCTAACAACAATGCATGACAATTTTGGCATAAATATTTAGGATAAATATCATCTGCATGAACATTTAAACCACCAAATAAGTTTAATTCTTCCGATAAGTCGCCTGTTCCTTCTTTATCATAAATTGGAATGTCACCCTCTTTCAAACAAACTCTGCAGATTTTTTGTGTAGTATCTTCGACATCTACTTTTGTACATTCATTTTCAATATTGTCACAAGATGGTCCTGGGAGAGTAAGGATTTTTTCTCTTTTATATAAATGTAACTTTTTATTTTGACACCTACGTTTGCAATGTAGCATTTTTAATAGTAAAGCACCCACCATTGCGTTTATTTTCACTCGACAATTATGTAATTTCAATTCATAAATTGGATTTCCTAAATATTGCAATTTGCAATTAATGAACAAATTATTTGTTTTTTAAGTAAAATTTACAAAACACGATTGACAGAAATGATAGACAGATACAAGTAGAGTACGAATTCTGTAGTTTATACATTTGACAGCAATTGACAACCATTGCTTACATTGCAGTCACAGAGTACTTTATTATATATAGGAAAATTGCAGTCAAGCTTTATCTGTTTATTATTTCTTTTTTTAAGTTGTTATATAAATTTTGCTTAATTAATTCAAACTTATTTCGAAAAAGCGCGGGAACTTTCAAAGCGACTACACGTATTTTTTCGCGCTAGTTTTGCAAAATTATATTTTATTGAGTTTTTTTTAGTCAAAACCAGTAAAGATGACGAAGAGGAGCGGGAAGAAGCGAAAAAAGAAAGAGGAAATATCGGATGATACATCCGATGATATTAATTTTCTAGGGTCTGACTCGGAATCCGCACCTGAGGATGTGGATAAGTATAAGGCATTTCAAATACCAGATTATGTTCGGTACTATCCTGAGGATGGTGGAAACTTTGAATACATTGTATTTATGGAGAGTACAGATAGTAATAAGCCAATCGGTGATAGGGATATGATGTCCTTAGCTACTAATTTGAAAAAATACAATAAAGGAGTTAAGCAATTATTAAGGATGAATAAATTTAAGATCGGCGTCATTTTTGAACGCCCCGGTTTAGCTAATGCAGCCTTAATTAATAAAAAATTTCTAGACGGATTTAAATTAAAGGCAAGTATACCAGCTTCAGCCACGGAAGTAACTGGAGTAGTTCAGCATGTTCCTACGCATCTATCGAACGAACAAATATACTCTAATATAACCAGCTCAAAAAATATTGTTTGTGTACGCAGATTCATGAGGCGTATTAAAGGTGATGATAACACCTTTACAATGCAGCCAACTAAAACCGTCTCCATCACATTTTCCTGTCCTGTACTTCCTGACACCGTCGACCTGAATAGCTGGCGCTTTGTGGTGAGGCCTTATATACCTCCTGTAAAGCAGTGTCTTAAATGTTTAAGGTATGGTCACATCGCTAAGTTTTGTAAGAACGCTGAAAGATGCTCAGTATGCGGAAATAATCATAATTTCAGAAACTGTTCGGCAAATATTAACGAAGCCAAATGTTGTCACTGCAATGGTAATCATATAGCCATTTCATCACAGTGTCCTATTAAGAAAAAGAAAATAGAGGAGAATAAAAATAAAGTACAAAGTTATGCTGATATTGTTAGAGAGAAATCATTTCCTCAATTAGGCAGTACCAAAACTTCACCTTCGGCACAATTTATATCCCTACTTAATTCTGACCAAATTTTAAATACCCTATTAGAATCAATTGTTAAAATTATAACATTGAATAGAACCAATGACAAAACAATATGTACAGAAAATATAAAACAAGTTCTCCTAGAGACATTACAGAATAAAAAAAACCCAGATTAATCTTTCTTTATTTAATTTTTTATTTCTTTATGGACCATATAGTAATAGTCCAGTGGAATGCACAAAGTTTAGTAAGTAATCAACAAATCTTTACACATTTTCTATTGGAGAACAATATTCATATTGCTCTGATATCAGAAACCTGGCTAAAAGCCTACTATAAATTAAATATTAAAGGCTTTAACATTGTTAGATTAGAGTCAGGCAATGACCATAACGGCGTTGCAATTTTAGTTCATAAAAGTATAGAATTCAGTAAAATTGATACATATAGTGATGATTCCTTACAGAATATTGCGGTACGATTAAAATATAAAAACACAGAAATATCAGTTGTTAGTTTTTATAGCCCAAATAATTGTAGTCCACGTTTTAACAAAAATAAATTCAGTAATCTTCTTAATAGTATTCCAGAACCCATGTTGGTTGCTGGTGATTTTAATGCTCATCACACAGCATGGGGTTGCTCGTCTATTAATGCTCGTGGTCGTGACATTCTTGAATGTATTGATGGTAACAACTTGGTCATCTTAAATGATGGTACACCGACTACAGTAGGATCACACAGATGGCAGAGTAATGCACTTGACCTTACTATTGCATCCCCTTGCTTATCTCTTGCTTCAAATTGGATGGTACATAATGATCCCTTAGGTAGCTACCATTTACCTGTAATAACAAAAATAGTAATTAATAACAATTGCACTAGATTACCAGAATCCTCAGATTATCCCAAATTTCATAATTACAATCTTATAGATTGGACCAAGTATAAGAAGACCACAGATAGTTTGTTACAAGATTTTACACTTTACACTTATAGTAATTCACCCCTGCAGTGTTATACTAAATTAATTGATATTTTCAATTTAGCTCTAGACAAAAGTTGTATATCAAAATCAAAACCCATAAACTCTACAACTGATATTCCTTTTAAAAATAAAAGGATTCCATTACCTTGGTGGAATGAAAAATGTACACTTGCAGTAGATAACTCTAAACAGGCATATGTTAATTTTAAAAAGAACCCATCAGAGGCAAATTATGTTACATTTAAAAGGTTACAAGCCAAAAAAAAAGTTAATACTTAAAAAAGAACAATCAATTAGCTGGAATAATTTTTGTGAAAATTTTAATCGCACCACACCCATTTCGAAAATTTGGAATACTGTTAAAAAATTCAATAAAACTTATGTATATAGTCAGATTTCAAATAAAAATAACTGGATTTCAGATTTTCTTAAGAAATATACTCCTGACACTGTCGAGACCCAATTTAAATCACACATTAATGAAAATAGTAACAAATTAAATTATTTAAATAAACCCTTCACTTTTTCTGAATTCAATGCAGCCATATCTACCCGAAGAGATACAGCATTTGGTCTCGATGGCATACCATATAAATTATTAAAAAACCTCTCTTATACATCTAAAAATATTGTTCTATGTATTTATAATGCACTGTGGAAAGAGTCAGTTATTCCTTCCGATTGGAAAAAAGATTGTATTATTCCAATTTTAAAACCAAACAAAAATGCAAATGAAATAGATTCCTATAGACCCATAACCCTGACCTCCTGCATGGGAAAAATATTTGAGCAATTATTAAAACAAAGATTAGAATTCTACATAGAGAGTAATTGTTTATTACCAGCAAACCAGTTTGGTTTTCGTAGAGGTAAATCTGCCTCTGAGAGTGTTGCTCATCTTCATATTGATATATTTAAAGCACTTAAATGCAATGAAGTTTTGATTGGGGTATTCTTTGATATTATCGGTGCATTTAATAATGTCAATCATCACATTCTTACTCTGGAACTTGTTTCTATTGGTATACCTGGAAAAATTATAAACTGGGTCTATAACTTTTTAAATGGTAGAGAAGTTTTTGTTAAAGTTAACAAGCAGTTAATAGGACCTCGTCTTTCTTATAAAGGTGTGTGTCAAGGTGGAATACTTAGTCCACTACTCTTTATCCTCTACATACACAAACTTAATTTAATTTTAGGACCACATGTCAGGAATCTTCAATTTGCAGATGACCTTGTTATATACTTTTCAGGCCCAGACATTAATAAAGTAACAGAAAAAATAAGTAACTCATTGTTAAGATTAACAGATTACTTTAAATACCTCAATTTAGATGTAAGCCCTGACAAATCTAAAGTAGTAATATTTTCTAAAACTAATAAATCATACAAAAACATTAAAATATTATATAATAATTCACAACTACCTATTACTGCTGAAGTTAGATTTTTAGGTGTTATTTTTTGTAGCAAATATGTTGATTATTTACTAGGTAAAGCTTCCAAAGCATTTAATATTATCAAAGCTCTATATAAATGTGATCCTAAGATCCTTTTAATGCTGTACAAATCCTTGGTTCGCAGCCACTTTGAATATGACTATCTATGTTTTGGTTCTGACCAAAACAAGCTTCATAAACTTGAAGTACTTCAGAATAATAATTTAAGATACATAACTGGTGCAATGAAAACAACCCCTATAAATTCCTTACAAGTAGAGTGCTGTATACCACCATTAAACCTGAGATTCTGGTACTTAAAACAAAGATTCATCCTAAAATTATTATCCTTTTCTGAAGACCCACTCTTACAAAAGCTCAAACATATTACTTCTTTATTTCCCCTTTCTAATTCTAAAACAGTTCCCTATATACTTCATGATTTCTCTGACTCAATCAATATTGATCAGCAATACAAAATTCACAAAAGCAATAGATTTTGGAATTGTTACCATGGACCATTTGAAAGTAAATTTCCAAATATTAATATTGTAATTGACTCTGAGTTAAGGACCAAACAAGAAGTTTATAACAAGTTGTCTACATTTTCAACTCATCAATCCATATTTACAGACGGTTCTAAAAACGAATCGAGAACATCCTTTGCTCTATACTTACCAAGTATCAGAACCGGTCATGGAACTAGAATACATAAAGAATTTAGTATTTTTTCAGCAGAATCTTTGGCTATTTTAAATGCACTTTGTTATATAAAAGATGATAGGGGCAATTGCAAAAAATGGTTAATTGTCACAGACAGTATGAGTGTTTTAACTGCTCTTCAAAGTAACAAACTACATTATAAAACCAATTATATCATAGATAGCATTAAGCAATTATTATATGAGCTTTCATTGGAGTGTTATGATATTATTTTATTATGGACACCATCACATATTGGTGTTTTTGGCAATGAAAACGCAGATTTCCTGGCAAGAACTATCACCAACAATGACATTGGCGTTGTCAAGGATGTTGCCATACCTTATTCCGACATTCTTTCTATAGTTTACAAGAGTTTTCGTCAAAAATGGGTTGAACAGTGGCAACTTTCGCTAAAGACTAAGGGTAATTGGTTTTACTCCATTAACAAAAATATTAATTCGTCACCCTGGTTCACTAAATCTAGAGTTTATAAAAACCGGAAATTTTACACACTCCTTATACGACTTCGTTTTGGTCACGCTAGATTCAATAGTCATTTGTGCCGAATGAAAATAATTGATTCAAATGCATGTCAAGAGTGCAATAACAGCAGTCAGACCCTAAATCACATATTTTTCGAATGTTCCGCTTATAATATTCAACGCTTGGTCTTTATTGATAATTTACTGAACATTTACAAGAAACCGGAAAAAATCCCGCGCGACATCCAAGACATGCTAACTAATTTTGAAACATATATACCTATATATTTATACGTTACCTCGATATCGATAAAACTTTAAATAATTGATACAAGGATATGGACTATGGATAAGACTTAAATTGACACGAATGAAAACATAATAAATAAACATACATAAGAATTGACCCTTGGCCTCATCACTTGTTCAAATATGAAGAAGCTTAAATGTTGACTAGGCTGTACGGTCTAAGGATCTTTGCCTGTTCCATCACTGAAAAGGAGATGGATGAATATGGAAAAAAAAAAAAAATCAAACTTATTTCACTAACCCCTTTGTTATTTAGATGTGGCGTATTCTCAAAATATTCTGTTTAAACAGTTTATATCCAGAATTGTATAATCTGAAAGTCAAAGGAGGACCTCGAGGACTTCAACTACTGTATTATGTTAAAAAGTTAATAAAAATGGTTGGAACGGTAAGGTTTTTTAAAGTATGCATAAGTAAACATAATTCTCTTGATAAAAAATTACAAATAAATAGTAGAAAAAAGGTTATAAAAAATTTTCAGTCGCTACCGCGAACTTCTAGTAATCATAAAAAAGAGTTCATAGGTAAAACCGAAGCCAACCAACTGAAAAGTGTTAAAAAAATTTGCAGAGTATGTCTAAAAGACGGTGTTATTCCAATTTATGGAAATAAAGGAACAGACAATATCTCGCAGGAATTGAACTTATTTGGTGATATAAATGTACGAGTGGATGATATTTATCCCAAATATTTATGTGGCACATGTTATGCTACTTTGTTAAATGCGATATTATTTCGTAAAATTGCCCAGCAGTCTGACCAATTTTTAAAGCAACAGGCACAGAAGCAAATAATAAAGAATGAAGAAATACAAGTGGAAAATGACCATACCCGTGAGTATGAAGAGGTGGAATGTAAAAAAATTGAAAATTCCAAAGAAAGTGCCAATGATAAAAAGCATAGCAATATAAATGCATGTAAAGAAAAAAAAATAAAAGATGTTAAAAAAATTAAGGAGTATCTTTGCAGTGTATGTAATTTTACAAGCCAGAACATAATATATAAGGAGCACAAAAATGGGAAAGCTACATGTTCTGTATGTAGCAATTTATATGAACATTCATATCTACAAAAACACAAGGCATTACATGATACACAGAAGCGACTTCAGAACTCTTATATGTGTGATATATGTGGCAAATTTTTCTATAGAAAAGAAGCATTTAAAAGACAGGGTTATTCATTTCAATAGTTTACCATATAAATGTATTTTATGTCCTTATAGAGGAAGATTCAGTTATACATTAAAAATGCACATGAGAATTCATACAGGGGAAAAAAAGTTTCAGTGTACACAATGTCCATATAAATCAATAGATAGAAGTAATTTAAACAAACACATGTTAACACATAGGAAGAAACTTTTTAAATGTGAACTATGTGGCCGTGGATGTGTTACTAAGCGATATTTAGAGACACATTTCAAACATATCCATCTGGGCATCAAGGACCATATATGTGATGATTGTAATAAACCATTTGCAACCAAGAAGCAATTGTTTGCACATCAAAAGAAAATACATAACCAGGAAAAACGCAAATGTGGCATGCCTTTATACTTGCGAGTTGATACTAACATGGAGACATAGTAAAATCTTAAAATACAATTTTAAATAATTGAATAAATTGCTTAATCTGTCCCCTGGCACAGTTGTTTGCCACAATGCTGTCAATAACATGTTTCTTTACTTTATAGTATGATGACTTTTCCTTTAAAATTATTGTATATATAAACACCCTAACAATAAAAAAACCATACTGGACCTCAGATCACTGACTGCTTCAGGAATTTATATATGATGGTCCTGATTCTTTTTGTAAAACTTGAAGAAACAATGATTTTTCATTATTCATTGTTTTGTATAGGACACATACTGTTTATCTAATCTGTATTATTTTGTTTCTGTTTAGAAAACATCCACTAATCTTTTTTATAACCTGAACCATTAAATAAAACAAATTTTATAAATGATTTTATTTAAAAATTTTAACACACTAAATGCCTACAGCACTCATACAAAACATTCAGTTATACTAGAACATTGGTATATTCAGGCAATTTAAATACATAAATAATAGTTGCCAAGACTGAAATTACTGCAGTTTAGTACAATTTGAATGAACATTTTGATAAACCATGCTTGAATACGTCAGAACTAGGAATCATCGCTATTAGAAAAACATTGATGTCATCACCTACCTTTTCCTGAGAAATTACTGTCTTGTTTCATGTAAATTAACTCTTCTATTGACCTTTATTGTCGATATTGTCGAAGCTCATTGGTTATCCATGTATTAGAAGACAACATAAATAAATGTTAATCATACCTAGCAGAACAAACTGTGCATGGCGACGTAGACAGACAAGATATTATTGTTACTTGTATAATTTTAGCATTGCTATATATGTATGTACTTGCATATGCAAATCTTTTTAATATACAATTTACATAAAAAAGACGAAATTATATTTCAACTTATATTCCAATGAAAACTACTGACTCTAGCAAATATAAATTCATAGCACGTTCATAGGTTCACTGTGTAATGTACTGACAAAGAAGTACTTCTAATTAATATAATTATGAATATTTAGTGGAATTTTAATTTCCTTAAATTGCCTCAATATATTAATATCTCATAAAAAACAGCCCATTACAAAAGATTCCCAATATGACTACTTTTAAATATTACGTAGTATGTTGCAATTTTGATTATTAAAATAATCTGCAAACTCGGTTAATCAACTGGCTTACTTGTCATGCTCACCATATATTATTTTAGTTACAGTTGAAGTTGGCATGATGACATTTTTTTTGTGTAACTAAATCTAAAATTATTATCATAACAAATGATACAACATACACTTGGTATTTCCCATTTGTTTGTTTAACATAGGTAACATGTGGAAAGTTAAATACACAATATATATATAAAACTTAGGATATGTTGGTAGGACGAAATAAACAGATTTTGGTCTACTAAAACTATTATATACATTAATTCGCATTGATGGTTTTAATTACGTAAGTATACTATAAAATAGGCACTTTACAACTTTCCGAAAGGTAAGGCGATATGGAAAAAACTAATCCTTCATACATATCACACGCCACTATTATATATTTTTAACGAATGTTTGAAGAATTCGTAATGAAAATAAAAGATACCATTCCCCCTTACTCCAAAGGTTCGTAAATAATTACAATCCATAAAAGGGATCTAAATAATGGGATAAAGGCAAGGATTGCCTTGCCTGATGATGAAAAGGTATATATATAAATATTACAGGAAAATCGAATTATATTTGTATCTGATATGGGTTTTGATCAATTATCTAAAGACATTTTTTTCTAAACTACGACAACCCTTAATCACATTACTAGAATATATTTCTCAAAGATATAATAATACCTTTGTATTTAAATAAAAGAACTGTCATAAATAATTATCAATACAAAGAGCATAATAAACCTTAACTAAACTCATTACCAGCATTTCTATTTATTCTTATTAGGTTTTATACATATTTAGATAAAAAACATCAAGATTATTTACTATATACGTGACATACGTAGAAAATACAGAATAGTAAACTAGGTATTCTAATACATAAAGAAAAGGCTACTCTAGTAGTCTCGGCTCTATACGCTACGATACATAAATAGTAATAACACAATAAATCGTTAAATAATATTAATTACGTATCATCATTATTTACATACACTGATGTTACTTAAGAATTAATTATTATGAAAATATAAAACGAAATAAGGGATACAGACCCTTAAAACCAAAATCATTCCAATATTCCTTCTAACTTATTGTATTTTAAATATCTCCTAAAATTAAATCATACACCACTTTTCATTAACCACCAATTAATAAATAATAAGTCTAATGGTGTGCTCAAAGCATAATATGTTAGATTATATCAAAAGGTTAGCGAAACTATAATAAACTAGGAATGTTCAGTCAACAGGTGAAATAATTGAGATTATTAATAATTTCATATATTGTCTTGACCTAGTTTATTTTCTGTATAATAGTTATAATGAATGAGCAATGTATGGGAACTTCAGAAACATTTTCATGAATTTTTAAACAATAAAACGAGAGCATACCTCCTTAGATTGTTGTTCTTAACGTATATCTCATAATGATCAAAACTCTCAAAAGTCTACATCAAAAACATTGTTTTATTTTTATTTTCAAGAAAGCCTTTTTTTAAAACAAATAGGAACTAATACATAAAGTATGTTTCGACTTGTGACAGTTTTCATCCGAGAGGTGATGTAATTGTTTATATAATAGACTTGCACCCATAGTTTTCACTCACGTTCCTAACTCTGCTATTGATTTAATATAACCTCTTTCTAGAATGTTCTTGTCGCTTCTGATACCACATAATTCCCAAAACTACTAGAACTATTATAACGATGGCTATAAACATCATGTACAGGAAGGTTTTGACGCCTGACATTGCAGGTTTTTCATCCTCTATTCTTTCTCGTGGCGCTTCATATGATGCAGCTGATGGAATAATTTGTGATCTGTCTTCGTCCTTTTGCTGATTAAAAAAAATAATTTATTTATATATTATTATTCTAAAATCAACTGAATACACGAGTATAAGATTACCCATTATAAAATAATACTCTTTGTTTAAACTTTAACCATACAATCAAAATTATATGAAGAGAGAAACAATAAGGTTTGCTTATTGTTTTTCCACAAAATAGAGCATGTGTAGCGCATAAAATTGAACAACATTATTCAAGAACATAATTTGAAGTATTCATGATCAAAATTATTCAGTTTCATAAATATTACTATATTTCTACATAGTATACCTTTTCCATAAAACTTTATTTTGTAAAACAATTTCAAAAAGTAGAAATTATAGTACCAACTATAGGTTTGGATGACACTATAGGAATAATCTGTTTTTTTTTTTGTAATAATAGAATTCATTTTGGTGTTGGTCTCACCAACACCAAAATTTGGTTGATGCAACTAATTTATTTTTTACTAGCTACTCGCCCAGATGTACATGTATTATATATATAAACATTCCTCTAGAATCACTCTATCAATTAAAAATAACTGCTTCAAAATCCGTTGCGTAGTTTTAAAGATAGGGACACATTTTATACATAGGGATGGACAGACAGTGACTTAGTTTTATACTATGTAATGATATTCAAACTAATATTGAAAAAAAAGTAACTGTTGTATTATGTTTAACTATCAGTAGTAGAACTCACCGAGTCCAAAAGGTCGAGTTCGTACATCTTGATAGCTATAATATCATGGTTGTCACTGAGATCTCCAGTGGTTGCCGTTGCCCCAAAGTAATAACCAGTGGGTAGCAATACATTCTCCACTCGTAAGCATTCTTTCCAAGCGTTCTTGCCTTCTAAGTCAACAGAAACTGAGGAAGATAATTAGTTATATAATGATAAATATAAAATAGCCATAGTTTACTTTTCAATTCGTAAATGATTATTTTAAAACCTATTAATTGTCACTAAATACTTACCTATATTAAGTATTTAGTGACAATTTTAAGTTCAATATGTGCTATTAGGAAAGTAGATTTAGATTACTATTTACCTGAAAACATTCAATTTTCATTATTATATTCATAATTGTATCTAAAATTGTCCATTAAGTGTGTACAAAATTAAAATTTCAAGTTTTAAATAAAAAAATACTTGTCTACAGAGACGAGTCTTTTTTTTAGAACTGATAAAAATCTAACAAACCTTACTTGCACGCACAATAGCCCAAATGAGAGGCACAATACGGCAAATAGTCCTACATATGACTATGATGTTCAGGACTGATGGCTGCCATGTGGCGGTAATTATACTTACAATCACATTCAAGACTAGAGTAATTTCTTGCTTTTTAGAAAGACTGTTTTACCAAAGGGTTTATGACTTCTTAGGCAATTATTGGTTTTGTGTAAAGCCTCACCTGTAAGTGTGTCGTCCCGGTACGCTATAGAGATGTGCGTATCATGATTGTAGTTACGGAACTTCGCTTCGCAGCCGGATAACTGCGTATGCGTACCGTCTCGATCGTGGTCGTAATGCATGGTGCCATTGTTCACCATAGCCGAAATGTATGGGTGTTGGTGCTGAAAAATTTAAACATAAAATTATATGATATTGTAAAAACAAAACTTTACAATATTAATTTGGAACTATAATATAATCTGCTCATAAGAGCATATTCACGAGATGCGGCGTACTTGATTCCAACCTTCTTTGAACAAAAAAACAACTTGTTGGCGTTAATTGATTTATTCTTATTTCTTAATTAAAAACACTCTTAGAGTTATAACATAAAAAATATAATCCGTTCACCACAATACTGACAGTAGATGTCTCAAACTATCCCATCTGGTATAACAGTTGCAAAGATACGAGTGTGTATAAAGCTTTAACTATACATGCGTATTTTATGAGACACATTATTCTAGAAAGAAATAGTACCATTGTTTTAATTGATTTAGTAGTAAATGTTTGCACTTGGCTATAAAGAAGGCAGACTTTGGCACTGTTGCATAACCTAAATTACAAATGATAGCTAGCTTCTATTTAATGCTCATTTTACGCACAGACAGGTGCCAGAAAATGGAAAAAAAACAAGTATAAAAGAAATAAACTACTTACATTATGAGCACCATTGTGGTTACTGTAAGTGTCGAGTACGATTGCCAGGCCGTAGAAATAATCTTTACTGCCAAACACGGGACCAGGTTGCATGCGGTCTCGAACATACCATATAACAAACCCGTCACCAAATAAGTCTTTCCCTTTTCCGTGCACTTTGAATTGCACTTGGAGCTCCCAGTTGCGGGTATAACATGGCTGTAAATGTTAATGTGGGTTAATTATAAACTTTTAATCAACAATATTGATTTTTAACAATGATAATTATAAATTTAATCAGTAATATTACTGGCTAGGATTTATAATATGGTAGACTGTAAAAAGTCCTCTGCATGGGTACCTCGATCTGACTTTCTTTAGCCGCCAGTCAGCTTGCTTTTAAGCTATGATCACAATGTAATTCCAGAATAAGAGGTATAGTCATTGTAGTCCTCCAGAAAGATGAGAGATTGGTGTGTTACAGTTGTCATTTAATAATGTGATGTCCATATTGATCTTTATGTATATCCACAAACCACAGTCACCCGACTGTGGTTTGCACCAGGTGGGTGTTTGCTTGTTTGCCATTCTAATACAGTGGACCCGCGGTAATCCGGCCCCCCTTGTATTTGTTCCAACATGGTCTATTATTTATTATTTTTTTGACAATCTTCCCTAATGCAAGATTGAACTTGTACGCATCACAACTGTTGTACTCGACGCGTAGGGTATTGTTTTAATTATGATTGCTTAGTTTGAATTTGACTACTTACATGTGATGAAAATAACAGTGTAGTATAGCATGTGTTCATTGTTTACTGTTTATTCATTGTGTATTACATATCAGCTCAGAAGCGAAAGCAGAAAACACTGACAATTGAAGAAAAATGTAATATTTTAGACTGCCCAAATTGTAACGAAACTTTTAGTTGTTGACATACATAATGAAGTGATAAGATTTTATGTTAAATATGTATGTACGTATTTGCACTCTGAAGTACAAATCAGTACTTCAGAGTGCATATACATACATATATGTACAAATCAGTACTTCAGAGTGCAAATACGTACATACATATTTAACATAAAATCTCATCACTGGATCTGTAATTTGTCAGATAACAAGGTACTCTTTTGTAAAAAATTCTGGACTATAGGCAGCACTCTATAATCCAACAAATGTGATAGTCCGACACTGCCCTGCAAAATGTTTGTCGGATAACTGGGGGTCCACTGTAATTAAATTTCTGGTTTGGTCTGTATAAGCTTTTTGTGCTGCTGGATTAGGCTGTAATAACCACTATCAAGCTATCAGAATGCTTCTTCCATGCATTTCCTCTTAAATAATTAGAAAAATTCCAAATTAAACTGTAATATGGACATAGTCACAGAATAAGACAAGTTTTTAGATCAAACCATAAAATTATTATTTCTATATATTTATATTAGAGTATAAGTAACATAAGTATTAATAGCTTTTTATGACAATGTCATGACTATTTTATACTTGAAACTCCTACATTACTATTAAAAAATATGCTAATAAAATATAACGATTCATGAAGGTAATTTGCATTGTCTCATTCTACTAAGCAAAGATTGCATATTATATTGAACTTTAAAGATATAACAATAAGGATAGATATTTCAATAATGTCATTATCACCTTGATCATGTTTTTATATAACCAACCTCATTACCTACTTCTTAGTTATCTAAAGAAAAGTACTTAACTGGATTGCAGTCGATAGTCTATAGTGAGACAAGTTGACTAATAAGAGAATTAAAAAGGAAAGAAAAGTTTTCTGTAAATTGGCTTGTAAATTTTTAAAATTTTATAGTTATATTTTTGTGTGTCCATGAACCTTTTTAGCTATTTTAGAGGATTGTTTATTATTAGATTTAATTTTTTTATAGTCTGTAGTGAACAGAACAAAATAAATGATGGGTATAGCTATGGAATGTGACAAATAGGTCACTGCCTTAATATAAGCCTGCAGTATGGGTAAATATATAAGTTCAAAGTTCATTATGGGATACATATATAGAAATGAACTATTTCTATTAAAAATAATTACCAAATTTAGAACTCATAGATTATAACTCATAGACAGAATTTCAGAACTTACTTGATTATTAAGTATAGACCAGAAAGAGAGAAAATCATTAACCCTAAGTTCCTCAGAAGGTGAGACATTGTAAATGTTAATATTGAAAAAATATTATAAGTATGTCTATTTGAATATAAAAATGTATACTTGAATGTAAATAAACATCTAAATAATCACCACACATCATGTCAACACAGTATGCTAATAGATATGTATATTCACATTTATACACAACAAAGAAGTTTTATTGTTGTGAAATAAAGATAACAAAGTTAGTTTCACCTAAATATTGAAACATATATATTAATAGGACATGATAGTTCTTCAAATTAATAAAATTATAATAAAACAATTAAACAAAATAATTTTGTTTTTCTTTTATTCTTGTCTTCAGAAGTAAAATGCAATCCTATAGAACTTTAACAAATCAATTCAAATCAGTGGTGAAACCTGAAGTTGTTTAGTAATAAAGTTCCAAAATCAAGACAATTAGGTCAATGTTGTTTCTATTAGAACACAGAATTTCAATTAACCAATGTCTGTAAAAAATAATAAGAAACCAGTGTAATGAAGAAATAATTCTATGCTTAAACTATTTAACCGATGTTGTAAATATATGTATTTGCCCCTGATTAATCAGAGACCTTTGGATTGAAAGTTTGTATACAGAAACAAAGATGGAACTGCAGTACAAGAGTCTAACCGAACTAAATTTTTGATAGTAGCTCTATCACCAATTTAGTTCCATTTATAAGAATGTAGAGTAAAAAAATCTTACCGCTGTATTCCATATAGCACCGGATTTGGATTGAAGATCGGGTGTCAGTCGTACGTAATTTGAAGTAACTATTGTACTACCTAAAAAATCCCAGTAAGGCACCGACATACCGCTCCCTGTAATCAAACAATAAGTCGTATTATTTGAATAAATTCCACATAGGTGATACCAAGTTCAACGTCACATGAAGATCAGAAACTAACCTTGGTAAGGTTTCGTGAGAGAATGCTCCCTTCTGATGTAATCTCGTGTATTCCATTCTGCGAGCACAGAATTGTAAAATATAGGAATTAATACATATAGCGTTAATTTTAACTTTCTGGTTATCATTTTTGTAATTTTAAACGAGCTATACAACACGACAACAAGACAAAAGCTAAATCATGGCAGATTTGGCAAATTGACACAGTAAATTTTTATATGACATTTGACAATTTTGACATTTCAAAGTTTGATAGGTGCAGAGCAGTGTTGCTAATTTTTTTTTTTTTTTCCATATTCGTCCATCTCCTTTGCAGTGTTGCTAAGTGAAGTATAAAATATTACTTTTTTAATATAACATACCACCGTAGGTTGGGATTCCGCTAATACATTCTGATTAATATGTATGTTTATATAGTCCCGTATGGTAATATTTAAAAAAATGATTTTTTGGTGTATGTACCGTATTTATATGTATGAATTCATATTATTATGTACAAGTAGGATAGGAGTAATACTTATTTTGGCAACATTTTTTTTATACCAATATAATGCTGAAGAGTAAGTTGAGCATTTCTTAAGTAGTACTGCCATCTATAAATAATTAACAATACTAAAATGGTGCCTTCACTTCCAATCATGTTTAGGAAAAGTATGCTAAGAGACTATTTGCTGTTTTCTAGAAATAGTAAAAGATGGCGCACATCAACGAAACGGTAGGAAAACGCCAAATCGAATTTGAAATTTTTATTTTAATGTCAAATCAGCAAATATGATATATTTATTATTAATATTGAATTTCTTTATAGGTTGAAATACAATATTAATAATCATCATTACATAGTATAAAACAAATTGCTGTCGCTCTCTGTCCGTCCTGTGGTAATACTATGTATGTTTAAACTTTAAAACTACGCAACGGATTTTGAAGTTGTTTTTTTAATAGATAGAGTGATTCTAGAGGATGATTTACATATATGTACATGTACACCCGGGCGAACCCGGGGCGGGTTGCTAGTCTTATATATAAAATTCTCGTGTCACAATGCTAGTTACCATACTCCTCCGAAACGCCTTGACCGATTTTTATGAAATTTTATATGCATATTCAGTAGGCCTGAAAATCGGCTATTATTTATTTTTCATACCCCTAAGTGATAAGGGTAGACAACTACCCCTAACTTTTTTTATTTTTGGACATATGTTTTATATAATGTGGCATTAAAATATCACCCTAAAATTTTCACCCTTATACCACCCTACCAACCCTTATTTTGTAATAGCGATTTTAATTTATATGGCAAAACAACGTTTGCGGGGTCAGCTAATAAACATGTAAATATCAATTTTGGAATATTCCTTTCATGAGTAGGTATAACAGCACCACATTTTTAGACGAAAATGCAATTCAGCATGTTCTCTACACCGTGTGTTTTTGCTGAAATACGTAAATTCCTTAAGACCTACTTTTTCGAGGCTCTATTTTCGACTGTCTTTAAAATAAACGGAAAACACTAAAATGTAATGTGATGAAATGTTCGCAATTTTTATGATATTTCAGAGTAAACGTATTATATGCTATGGAGTACTCAAAATGTTTCAAATATGACTCTGACTCTATGCCAGTTACATTACCATACACGGTTGTAGGTACTATTTCCTACATGTGCTACCATTTGAACTCGTAACGATGAAGGATTAGTTAAAAGTGTGATGAGATGATGTGAGTGGTATATAAGAACATTAGCATAATGAGGGCCAATCCGAACCATAGCGACACTACATCCATTCTAGCTAAATTCTTGTTGCGAGCCGTAATATCGTCCGCAACAATCTACCTACCGGGGGGAAGGGGATTGTTAAAAATCTGGACTGAAAAAATTTATTGCTAGCAATGTTTCATGTTAATTTGACTTCCACTCGATTCCGCCCGAAAACCATCAACCATTGCAAATTCCTGGTCTTTTTTTAAGAATTTGCCACTACGGGCTAACTCATCTGACTTCATGCTAATCGTATCATATACACTATGCCATTGTTGACTACAAGCAGGACATTGTGGACTAAATCTCGGCTAAAAGTAAACTGACATTGAGGTTGGTGCAGCTAGAGTCGAGTCACAACACGAATTTTGAGGCGTTTGTAGATAGAATCCCTACCAATATGATGTCCACAGTCATGAAGGAAGACTACTGTTCGAAGGAGGTGAAACAGCCTAATGTTCCGACACTAATGACTGTCTTTTACACCTATTTTAATTTTCTGTGTTATCAATATGTTTATTATTTATTTATTTATATTAAAAAAAAAATCTCACCTGTTCACAACTAAATTTTGCCATGATGATAGATTGTAACATGGTACATCACTATTTTATTATTTATCATTACTCTAAATAAATCTATCTGCAAAGTTCTTCAAAATGCTAAGATACCAGGAAAATGTATCTAAATATAAGATACAAAAAAAAATAAAAAGTATTTCAAATACAAGATAAAAATACGTATTTTGTATCTTGCATCTAGTATTTCAGTTACTTTTTATAGGGTACGTTATACGTCACTGGTGGTAAGTATACACTCTATCCTGAGGAGATAAAAAGAATTGCTCCTAAGAATATTCTTGTCCCTCACGGGTCTAGGCAGCGAACTTTCAAAAGGGGAGTACAATAGATCTATGCAAGTCGCAATGTTACAGGTTTTATTACCTGAAATTAGCCCAAAACCCCCAATAAAAAAGTAATAGGTATAGAATACTAATATAAGAGCGTCGTTGCTTAGTGATGTAATACCTCGAATTAGACAAAGGTTCTGAATTCAAATTTAGCCGACTCTAAAAAAATTATTGTGTATCAGAATAGAATAGAATAGAATAGAAAATCATTTATTTCAATAAACTTACATTGTAGAACTTTTGAATAGGGATCACATTTTTTTAATCTACCGCTCATTCGGAAAGCTGTCTCATCACAAGAACAAGGAGCAAAAAACTTGCGTGTTGCTCTTTTAAATAATTTTATTCTTAATTTACATTTTTAAGTTTAAGTGTGTGAATACAAACTACCAATTAGCACTAATTCAATTAAATAATATTGAATATACAACCAACTGGTTAAACAATTAATAAGAGGAAATCAGTCATATCTAATGATTAGAGCAGACCAGTCCCTACAAGCAACACCCGTTCACGAGTATGACGGATGTGCCAGCCATCAATGCGCTCGATTATCAATTTATGTTCTTTAGGGTACTCTCTCTATACAATAATAATAATGAAATTATGAAACACTTGATTGTTAATCGCCATTCGAAGGTGACATTTTTTATTCATGTCCGCCCCCTTGGGTGATTTTTTATTGCTGACTGGAATATCAGGTGTAATTTTAAAGTCAAAGAGAAAACTCCAAATAAGGTACAGCCATAATTAATTATTACAAAGATGTCGAAATTCGCCATTGCCCTATAGATTGCCTGTAAGGGCAACACTTTCACCGTTCGTGATGGATGCACCTACTTTCACTATTTTGCTACATATAGCCGTGTAAGGTCAAAACCACACTTGTCCGAGGTCAATGACATTTTGATTTGCAACTTTTACCACCACTACACTACTTTGAAGACTGGATGGGAAATGAGGAAGTTGAATTTTGAAGTAATTATTCTTGCCATACTATATTTTTATTCATATTAGGTACATAAAATATTCCATAGGAGTACACCTACTGTAACTTTGGTATGCAACTCTAAACTCTGAACTTTATGTCAATTCTGGGAATATTTTCATAATAGACAATAATTAAAAAAAAGTTAAATATTGAGTTCTCTTAAGTTTTATAGTTGTCCTTAGTTCAGTTTTTGTATTAAATATACTACTCAATATAAAAACAACATGTTTGCCATTGATACATATAAAAAGCCGATAGTGTAATTTTATTTCTCCGGTGTAGTGGGTGCTCATTGGCGCCAATAGTCTACTTACTTAATCCTACTGCATGAAAATTTGACTTTGGCCCCTGTACTATAAAAAATATAGTTGAGTGTATGTCTATTTATTTATTATGGAACAGTTTAAGGTTAAACTCGTTTGCCCTTTAACATTGCCACTGTGACGATAATTTTAGATTTTTTTTATAATAGATAGAATATATCAGTCGTTTTATCTTTTTAAAACTAAAGATGAAGTAAGAAAAATGTAAAAATAAAAAATGTTAAATTTCAATTTTCTTAATTTAAAAGGAAATGATACACCACTGAATTAGATGCAAAAAAAAGTAGTTCCTATACTTTTTCCTATACGTTTACGTATAAAATATTCTCGATCAGTCTGAAATTCTACAAATTTATAAAAAACCAAAATTTATTTTAAAAATTTTAATATTATATGCACAGCCGCAATAGGCATGTAATTCAATCAAGACAATCTATAAAATCTACTCTCCGACGGTAGGACGGTTTAAACCATTTTGTTGGATTCCCTTTTACCTTCACTGTCCTAATATGGTGACGTCACGACTTTCACGACTTAGATTCATGAAAGTGACAGATAAAACCAAAAGTGGAGCCACCCCGAAGGCCAACAGCTCGACCTACGACAATAAATGTTGGGTATTTGGGTCAGAGAAAGCAGTGAAAGTCTCTGTTTGACCGTGATCTACTCTACTCACTCTTCCTATAATTGTGGACTTGACTTTGACAGTCGTCAGTCTGTTTTGGTAATAAATAATTTCGAACTGTATCTCCTAAAAACTTAGATTCAATTTTGGTATAGAGAATATTCTAATGTTAAAAAGAGTAATGATGTCGTGATGTCGAGTTTTTTTTTATTATTTGATTATTTTAGTTGCGTTGCGCTATATAAGTAAGTACTTGCAGCAACAAAATCATTTTAGTTTTATAGGGATGTAAGTAAATATATTGGTAATAGGTAGACGATAATAGATACTGAAATTAAGATTATTATATTATATTCATATTATAAAATAGTGTAAACATTGGTGCATCTATTTGTAGATTCTGTAAAAAAATGTCTTACTTTCAGTTACAGAGTTTGTTATAACTCAAATAACCTGCTCGAAGACGAAATTAGGTAGTTGTTGTTGAAGACGCAGATTTTTTTACTATTACCCGTGTAGCTATGATATTTGAAAGTATCTTAGCCAGCTTGTACAGTTATCAGTATTTATACATGTCAATCAATCAATCAATGTAAGCAAA